TGGTACATATGGGCCCAGATATAAACCAGATGGGTCCCATATATTTTTCACCATCTGAGCCCCATCTTGAAATGTCCATCTGCAGCCCATATGGGTTAGATGTGGTATATATGGGCCCAGATATAAACCAGATAGGCCCCATATATATTTCACCATCTGAGCCCCATCTTGAAATGCCCATCTGCAGCCCATATGGGTTAGATGTGGTACATATGGGCCCAGATATAAACCAGATGGGCCCCAGATATTTTCAACCATCAGGGCCCCATCTTGAAATGCCCATCTGCAGCCCATATGGGTTAGATGTGGTACATATGGGCCGAGAAATAAACCAGATGGGCCCCATATATCTTTCACTATATGGGCCCCATCTAGAAATGCCCATCTGCAGCCCATATGGGTTGTATGTGGTACATATGGGCCGAGAAACAAACCAGATGGGCCCCAGATATCTTTCACTATATGGGCCCCATCTAGAAATGCCCATCTGCAGCCCATATGGGTTGTATGTGGTACATATGGGCCGAGAAACAAACCAGATGGGCCCCAGATATCTTTCACCATATGGGCCTCATCTAGAAGTGCTCATCTGCAGCCCATATGGGTTATATGTGGTACATATGGGCAGAGATATAAACCAGATGGGCCCCAGATATCTTTCACCATATGGGCCCCATCTAGAAGTGCTCATCTGCAGCCCATATGGGTTATATCTGGTACATATGGGCCACGGATATAAACCAGATGGGCCCCATTTATCTGGGCCCCATATACCAATTCGCATTTACTTCCCATATGGGATTCATCTGGGCAATATGGGGCCCAGACAACCCAGATAAAATCCATATGGGCCCCAGATACTTTGCTATCTGGGCTATCTCTTATTTATTTTTTTGGCGGGGGGTGGGGAGGGAGGAGGCAAGAGCCCTTCGCCCTTCCCCCGTTTCCCTCTTTCCTTCTTATTCCTCTTCTTTCTTTCCTTTTATATTTTCTTTCCCTTTCCCTTCTCTCTCTTATTTATTTTTGGCGGGGGGGGGGGAGGAGGCAAGAGCCCTTCGCCCTTCCCCTGTTTCCCTCTTATTTCTCTTCTTTCTTTCCCTTTCCCTTCTCTCTCTCTCTCTCTCTTATTTATTTTTTTGGCGGGGGGGGGGGGGGGGAGGTAAGAGCCTTTCGCCCTTCACCCGTTTCCCTCTTTCCTTCTTCCTCTTCTTTCTTTCCTTTTATATTTTCTTTCCCTTTCCCTTTCCCTTCTCTCTCTCCTTATTTATTTTTTGGCGGGGGGGGGGGGGGGGGGGGAGTGAGGAGGAGGCAAGAGCCCTTCGCCCCCCCCCCGTTTCCCTCTTTTCTTCTTCTTATTCTTTCTTTCCTTTTATCTTCTCTTTCCCTTTCCCTTTTTTCCTTCTCTCTGTCTCCCCCAGCTAGGGCTGGTTTTGTTTACGAAGCGCCCGTCAGGAGAGTACACGATAGAGTACACGATAAAATTGACGATATCGTGAACTTTATATCGTGAACTTTTCACGATAAAATTCACGATATCGTCAATTTTATCGTGAAAAGTTCACGATAAAGTTCACGATATCGTCAATTTCGTGAATTTCTTCGTGAAAAATATGCGATAAAATTGACGATATCGTGAATTTTATCGCATATTTTTCACGATTTAGTCTATTCGCGATGTCCCTTCAGGGCCACCATAGAACATGCATAAATAAATAAATAAATGAATACACATCAAAAAAACTCAAGCCCTCCCCCCCCCCCCTGCGTACGCGCCTGCAGTGCATGCATTAAAGTGATGGAGGAAGTGATTTAATTTGGTTTTTGAAGATTTGGAGTGAAGTTGCCGTGCGAATATGAGTCGGTACGTAGGCTACTCCCGGAGGCTACTCGGTAGATTATTATAGATGCTTGGAGCGATGAAAGAAAAAGATCGTTTTTTTAATTCAGTCTTGGGTTTCGGGATAAATAAGGGATTTAAGGTAGAATGACGAGTAACATAGTACTGGACGTTTATAGGCAAAAGGTTCTAAATAAGGGGCTAGATTGTTGCGATATCAACCCTTTGTAAGGCGGGGCCCAGATGAGCGGAAGCCACGACGAAGACGGCGCTGTTCAATCAGAAGCTAGATAATAATTCAGGACTTTTGGGGGTTTTGATGTCCCTCTGATACAAAAGGAAACAGACCCTCCATTATTTTGATCACAACTTGGTGCGTCTTTAATGTTGATGGTTACCATGGTTCAGTGCCATGGTTATGATCAAATACAGGGCGGCTCTTAATCACCTCTTCTGAAGATGCCTGTTCAAGGAACATTGAAATTCAAAGCAAGGCTAGAACACTGATGGTGGAGCTAGTGAACTGCCAATAATTCCAATATAATTAAAAACAGCATCCACTCATAATATGCTATCTCTGGATTTTCTTCATTGGGCCAGGTTTATAATGTACCTTCGTGCGCCCCTCAAGGGTATCTACTTTTATGTTGAGTGTAGATACGGGCCTAGTGTATTCAATGTTCAATTTGAAAAAGCAAGCAACGAATAGATAACTCATGAAATAGACAAATAAGAGGAAACATTTTGAAAACCGAAAGAGAAGCAAAATTGGACCAGGGCCTTGAATCATAACAAATGCTAAATATGTGACAAATTTGCTCTCAGTCAATCAAATGCCATGATTTCCGCCAGTTAATACAGTTACTGTAATTTGTTATTGATAACAAGTTTTATAAAACAGGGCCAGGCATCGATGCGATGTGATTTTTTTTTCAAATTTTATAAGCCCCCCCCCGGAGGGGGGGGGGGGGGGGGCGGAACTCACACATTAGGACATACGGGGATGTGCCGTTCCAATGGGTGAATTTTGCACAAAAAATCCCTAAACATGGGTCCCACTTTTAACAAAAATACCATTAAAAGTCCGATTTTTTCAAAAACACCCCAAATTTGTGGAATTTTTTTTTTTCAGGAAAAATGCCCCATAAAACCCCTAATAATGGGTAGGGATTTCGAGGCTTGAGCGGTACACCCCCATCCAAACCCATTCTAAGTACCACCCCCCCCCCCCCACCCCCCGCGGGAGGGGGGGGGGGAGAAAATAGAAAACAAAACAAAACAAATACGAAAAAGAAACAGAAAAGGGTAAAAATAAAAGAAAGCCAGTTGGGTAATAATACAACTAGTAAAGTTGCTTGTGTTTAGGGAGAGAAGCAGCGTCCAACGTAGGGTGTTATTAGCGTCTGTGGTATGGTGTAATGTTACCCCCCCCCCCTAAAAAAAAAAAAAAAAAAAAAAAAAAATGCGCTACAAATTAATAATGAAGTGTATCAAAAAAGTAAAAAATCTTTGAATGACCGGTTTTATCATACTTATTTCCCCCAATGGACTGTAGTGTTATAAAAACCGTTGGGAAAATGAAAAATGAAATTTCGATTTCCATTCATAAATATCTCGATAATCAGACAGGCGATCGGCTTGTAAAAGTAATGGGATTCATGAATGACCTAAAGGTTTATAATTATCATTGCAGCATGAGCCGATTGGGATTTTGTTTCAGAATCTGAGGCAATGTTACCGAGTCACTTTTGAGGTAATAAAAATTTTGGGAAATTTTGAAAAATTCGCTGTATATAGTAATTCTTTAAACTTTTGATATATTTGGATACCCATGTGTATTTATTTTAAGCACTATAAAATTAAGCCCCTAAAACACTTCTGCTTACGAGACATTGAATATCCATAACTAACAGTCACTGGGTTCCTTCCTGCCACCACCGAATGGTGACAAAAAAAATAGAGAGAGAGAGAGAGAAAGAGAGAGAGAGAGAGAGAGGGGGGGGGGGGGGTGTGGTGTGAAACCGTAACCGAAAAAACACTATCCCCACCCTGGTGCTTATTTTTAATTCATCCACCAGTAAGACCCCGCCCCTATAGTGGGCCCTGAGAGTCACTGATAGGCATATAATACCTTGATGGCATGCACACATTATGCTCTTGCCTAAGCTAGATTCAACAGAAAGATAAACAAAGGTATTACATAAAAATATCATTACAGAAAGTATGAAACAAATTGTATGTACACAATTCATTTTTTCTTAGTAACTATAATACACTTTACACATATCAAAATTATTACAAGGAATTCTTAATTTCTGAGGAAATGGGGGGGGGGGGGGGTCCACTAAAAACCAGTGCTTGTAGTTTGTGGATCCCTCAGAAAAATCCCTCAAATTGTGCCTTCGAAGACTTAGAAAACACTAGAAAATATTACAAAACAGCAAAACAACCACGAAACGACAAGGAGAAGGAAAACAGATAAACGGAAGAAGGAAAAGGGGAAAGCCAGGAGGAAATGACCGAAGAAGAAGTAGTTATATTGGTGATTCGGGGAAGGTAAGACCATAAGACCAAATAAATATTAAATTAATCGAGCGATGATGAAGACCTTAATAAAGAAATTAAGATAATTACCAACCCTTATCAGATTATTATCACAATAAGATTTCAGCAAAAGTATTTTAATTTTTTCCTGAAAGAATGATTGTAAAATATAAAGTGGATCATAGTTCATGCATACCCGATCACAAAAAATTAAAAATGGTACGTGAAAGTACAGTGTCAGTGAGTTTATAAATGAAATACACATGAATTCATTAAACTACATTCCTTTTTGTCATTATTTGTTTAATTCTTAATTTTTGTTGTTGGTTCAAGTAGGGAAGAAATTGACAAGGCATGCATCCGCCCCCTTTCTATAGTTCCGAATCGAATACCCCCGACCCCCGCCCCTCAAAAAGCATGCAAGCATCAATGATTACAAAAATCAATTACAATAATTGATAAAATTACAAGTGCTCCATAAAAAAAGGCTTAAAGTTGCTCAATTTCTTTGCCCGCTCGTAATCACTGAATTTTATAAACAGAAACAAATTGATTTTGTGAACCATTGCAGTTGCGCTGCCTTGGGCCATGATCCTTTGCATGTCCGTCCTCGAAATCGTGTGTGAAAAAATATCTCGACCGGCATTTCACAGATTGCGGCCATCTTTCTTGCTATCAATTTTAGTGCTGAGAAAGTGACGGGATTCTCTCCAAAATGTTGTCCCGTCTGGCTATGAGAAATGGTAAATCGAGAAATTGCAATAATTTTGGGTGTATATGTATTTATTGTATGACTTGAATGACAAATTGTTTTATTTTATTGTGTGTATATGAGATTATAATGAAACGATCAAGCTTCAGTCCATGCCGAAATTTACATTTCATGCGCCCGGCATGCCGTGATAGCGTAGGTGGATGTGCCCTCTCGCCCAACTATAGGCGTGCGGATTGGTGATGTGTGGGTCTTTGACATCATGAGCAGAGTGCAATTTTGTTTGCGAGTGTTGGTGCATGGCAGTTGATAAAGATGTGATATAAGGTCAAGAAGGGTATTTCAATTCCTTTGTTACATTAGCAAACTTATAATTCAGGATTCAATGTGAAATTGAACAAAACAAAGCTCTAAAAATACCAATAAATAAAAGACAAAATGCAAGTATCGGATCCGGACATGTCGCTGAATGAGGGTAGGCACATTCATGGGGCACTAGAGGGCGCTTCACTCGCGTACGATAATCTGAATGGCCTTGCTGCGGTGGGTCGGCAATAATCAGCCCAAAACTTGGATATGGGAGGTTGGAAGGATATATCTTTTTTATAATGTTATCCGGTCTTACCCTTAATTAACCATCCTATGTTTAATCTATGTAGAAATAACATGCGAGTGTGATAAGAGAAACATCGGGCCCATTACTGAAGTAACTTTTTAAATATTAGCCTAGAAATGACAACCAAACGGAAAAAATTGACATTTTTTCCCGACAAATCTTCATAAAATCTGAGTTATAAACAAGTCACATCTAGGTACACTAGACCTAATACAAATACGATTTTCTGAAAATTCAGGTATGATTTATTCAGTTTCTTTCAAGTATATTTCTGCGCATTGCAGCGCCAATATTCTACACTGCTTCAAAATCACACTTGAATTTTTTTTTTTGCAACGAATTTGATACGAGGTCCGCGAGTGTGCCCCGTTCCTTGCGTGTTGAAAGTTTGGTAATACATAGTTTGCATTGACTCGCGCACGAAAAAATGGTCGAAAACAAAATGTCAAATGAAGAAATAAACAAGCTTTTGTATAGTTATAAGAGTTCTACCGAGGTTTCTTTGTCGATTCAATTGATTATATAGTCTCAATTAGAATTCAGAATTATCTCACTGAAAGTTAAGAAACCGACGATGTTCTCGATCTTAGTTATTTTCATTTTGCCAGCAGCCGATCTAGCGTTGTTTGGGCAAAAAGCTAGGCCGCTGCCTTCCCACGCGAACCCTTCCGAGTCCCGCTAAAATGGCGCTTTGCGGAGCTCCGAAGCTGCGTTGGTATCGCTGCAAACTCTCAGCCGGCAAGCTCCCCACGAAGGACCATTCGCGGTATGGCGAGAGTGTGTGTGTGAAGTATGATTTTGGATTCGAGAACGCACGTAATGCAACCGTGCGCGTCATTTTCAGCTGTCGAATGTATACGACCAACTTTACATGTACGATTTTTAGTACAGATACTTGGTCAGTTTTCTTCTTATATCTTTGGTTTTACAACATTTAAAAATATAATTTCTTCAAATTTGCTCCTGACTCGGTTCAGACTAATTGTCTGATGTGTTTTCAAGTCAATTTTTTAATATATTTTTTGCATGAATTTGCCTAATGAGGGATGGTTTCATGGATACTCGAGAGTTCTTGGTTGGTTGGTCCTCCAAAATACTTGTCTGAGTTTTAACTGAAGGTGCGGGTAGGGTGTATTAATTTGAGTTGAGTATGAGCTAGACCGAATTTTTCTGTCTCTTTCGTTCATTAGCCTCTGATTTGGGTAAGGTCGGCTCTCTCTTTAGAGACAGAACAGCCCTATACGCTGTAGTGGACGCGCGTTTGTGTAAAGAAACGTTACACAAAACTTGGCCAAACTTAATCCTTAATTTTTATATTTTACCGGATGCGTATCTGATGCATTTAAAGTCCTAAATTAGCTAAATGCTTAACTACTTCGGTTCCACTTACCAACTTGACTACTTGAATCCGAAATTAATGGTCAAGATCGACATCCATGAAGAAAATCTTGTAGCTGGGTCTCATTCCTTCTAGTCTACGCCAAAGGCAAAATGATTATAACGGAAAAACTGTGCACGAGCTATTAGTTCGTAATGACATTGACCCATAATTTCCTGAAAAGGGACCATTAAACGGATTCAAGTAGTCAAGTTGGTAAGTGGAACCGAAGTAGTTAAGCATTTAGCTAATTTAGGACTTTAAATGCATCAGATACGCATCCGGTAAAATATCAAAATTAAGGATTAAGTTTGGCCAAGTTTTGTGTGACGTTTCTTTACACAAACGCGCGTCCACTACAGCGTATAGGGCTGTTCTGTCTCTAAAGAGAGAGCCGACCTTACCCAAATCAGAGGCTAACGAACGAAAGAGACAGAAAAATTCGGTCTAAGTATGGGCATGCATGAAGTAGGAGTCTGTAATTGTAAATATTAGGCTCACAGTTGAACTTGAATTCAAACAAGAATTATTTCTGGATTCCACCCATGATTTAATAGTCTACCATTTTTTTAATTATTTATATTTCAAAGAGAAAGTTTGCCAACAATTAGTGTGATGGGATGTCCAAAATTCAAGTGCATTTAACAAATATATTAAGGATTGTGATATTCAATCCATGAGCCAGTTCATTTCTACATGAATTGTTGAGGTCAATCATCTATTGGATTCTACAGGGAAAAAAGTACTTGGGGGCTCCGGGCGAAGTAGCCCCCAAAATGCCCCAAAGAGCCCCCAAAAGTCTTAAAAGGGCCCCCAAATTTTGAATAGAGTTCAATGCAAAACAAATTAAAGAGTGTTGTTTTCATGCAAGCAAGCTTGAAAAGTAGCCCCCAAAATTGTTAAAGTACCAGTATTTTTTTCCCTGGGATTCTATACTAATGCCAAACAGAAAGCAAAGCTGTACTTTTGTTTTGTAGACAAAACAAATTAGTCCAAAGGATTTCAGTCATATCGCTCTCTCAAGTCCAAAACACACTTCACATGTGATAAAAATAAAAGATCATAAAAACAACATGTCCAAACTTTATGCATGTGACTCTAGTTTCTAGCGGATTTTATTCAAAATATTTAGCAATTCATCCAAAGTTTGATCATTGCAACAATTGCAAGGCAAAACATCATTCAACCACTTTTTGTTGCAATATTGTAGTGGAAATCCTTTTATCAGGTACAAGTAGTCACTGCATTTTTGCATAGAGTCTTAAAGATCATTGAAAGACAAATTGATAACACTTACAAACATTCTAACAAGTAACATGAAATTTATGCTCTGCATGAAAATTTCAAATGATTCCTAGACTATTTGGTACTCTATGAGAATAAACTGTTGATAGCATGATATTAATGATGGAATTGACAAATCAAAAGATTCCTGATCATTATTTCTCTCTTGTATCTTTGCAGGCTCTGCCATAGCATCTATTGCATTAAGATCATCAGCACCATGGTAAGTTATAATAATAATAATATTTAGCTTTTATATATCGCTTAATACAAATGTCTCTAAGCGCTTTACAAATATACTATTAACCCGTATTGGAGACAGTGCTTGCTCGCACACACTGTGTGCACAATCTCCACTCCCTGGGGAGCATTCCAGCCAGGCGTTACTTTTCAAAAAACTGTTTGACCAACAATGACGGCTGCATCCTGTTATACTCTATACATGCAGTGATCTACTCTAGCTCTAACTAGGGTGAACAGTGTGAAGGAACGTCTTAATTTCATCTGTCACTGATTTGTAGTGTTTCTTACCGTAAAATCCCATTAATGACACAAATTGCTATTATCATCATTTACCGAAATCACTGCTAACTTTGAATCTGTTCAGTTGCACTTTCTAAAGAAAATTATCATAGAAATGTTTTTAATTGGAAACTGGAAGTGAATAAAAGCAGCAGTGATAATAATAAATATTGTTTTTCTCTTTCTTTTAGGGGGGGGGGGGGTGCATTGTGTTATACATGAAGAGTCTGCTTCAGAAACATGCTACATCCATACATCTCTATTAAACAGAGTACTGACGTGTAATAAATGAGAAAGCTCACAAATTACTTTTCACGTTTCCCAGAACTATACCTTCTCCAGTGCTATATAAATTCAGAATGTTAAGTGAAAGAAATCTTTCTTGATTTGCCGTTACAGTGTATCAGCAGCTCCACAGAAGATGTTGCTCTCTACCTCCACACCCCAACGCATGCCTAATAAGATGCCTGAGGAAGCAGGAAAGATCAGGTTTGGTTTCGTCCCTGAGGAGTGGTTCCAGTTCATGTACAAGAAGACTGGTGTCACAGGTACGATAGTAAACAAACAATACATGTTTGCGAATGCATTAGTGAATATTCACCGCACGCAGGTTAAGTCACATTAGGATGATCAACGAGACTTGTCGAGTTCATTGTCCGTCTCATTGCGACTTAACCAAGTGCAGTGCATATTACTAACGAGCTATAAACATGTAATATTTGTTTTGGGTCTACAATATGAGTATAAAGTCAAGAAATTGACTGTTGTTATCACAAAAATGCACTCCTGTGCATATGGTTAAACTGCACGCACACATGGTTCATTTCAACGCTTCTCATTGGTTACATTCTTGAACCCATTTTATAAAATGTAATATAATAAAATTGAATTGAATTGAAATGTGTTTTATTAAAAAATCCACATGGCAGCTCAAGGTCTGAATTGCATGAAGTAACAAAGTAAAATAATTAAAACAAAAATTCTTACAAATCTATGCATCTATTATAGTCGTACAATAATATATAAGAGAGAAACAGAGAGAAAGAGAAAGGGAGAGATGAGACAGCAAGGAGAGAAAGAGAAACAATGATATTGAGGCATAGGTGTGGCAGTCTAGGGGATGAAGAGATTATAAATTACATAAGTGAGTTTATTCACTTAAAATTCAAAGCACATGATAAAAGTCAAGGTAACAAAATTAAGTTAACGTAACAAAATACAAAACATTCACACAAACAAACACGAGTTGAGTTATATTGCAGAGATGCAATACCTTCAGGAAAAGAAGCAAAAGTAACAATGATATTTTTGCAAGATAAAAAAAAAAAAAAAAAAAATTGTTTTTACTCGTTATCAAATGAAATGACATAGAATTCTATTTTGACTTGCTCATTTGGATGATATAGGACCCTACGTGTTTGGAACCGGTTTGATCCTGTTCCTCCTGAACAAAGAGATCTACGTGATGGGACCTGAGACCGTCCATGCTGCGGTGGCGCTCGGCCTGTTTATCTATGGTATCAAGAAATTGGGACCAGGCATAGCAGAATGGGCTGATAAGAAGAGAGAGGTGAGATCTGGTTCAGGGACCGTTTCACAAAGCCTTTTTTCAATGACAAATGACAAAATTTAGTGTCAAATCTGCTGAGATTCAATCCAAAGGGAGGATTTCACTAGCTTATCACAAAAACTGTCAATTGTCACTGATGACAAGTTTTGTGAAATGGGGCCCAATACAGCAATTTGTCCAGCTCTTAATTGATCAGATTTTTTTCTTTCTAAATTAGCGAAGTTGCAAAGTTATCCCTGTTTGTTTGTTTCGTTCTTTTATTGCATGTTGTTTATCAATTTATTTGTTATTCATTCTTAGTCTTATTTGGCCAGAGCTAAGAGTGGTACATGAATATCAAAGCACGATGTTTGCAATGAGTGTTCATCTTGGCTCTTAATGTTCTTTAAGATCAGTTAAAAAATGAGATATAAAAATAGAGAAGCTTTTGCCTTACCAAATTCAGGAAGTCCTTTTAAAAATAATTTTCTTAAAATACATATTTGCTAATTCTCCCTGCTAGTAAAAAGCAGGTAAGCGCTCTTTTTAAGCTCTCAATTCATGTACCACTAGTTTAGATTATTGTAGCTAGGAAACTGTCTCTGTATTAAAGCTAATCTTGATCTCTGGTATCGTATGTTGAGAGAACATGGCTATAATTCATTTTGGATTGTTTATCCTACAGTGGATTGATTGTTGAACCAGTAAAATAAAAAACAACCTCTCAAAAACTTGCTGGAAATCATCTTCAATAGAAACCACAACTCTCATTTGCACACACATGTAGTGACCTGTGTTAAGCACATGGTGTCTGGCCTACTCACCTTAATTTCCTTATCTTTCTATGCTCATTACTCAGCCCCTATAAATTTTCTACCAAAATCGTTTGGCATATGTCATTTATTTGTAATCTTCAACATTCAGTGTAATTTTTGTTGCATTCTGTAATGTTTTACCCACACACACAACCACAAACACTAGAACTGAAGCTCATCTTTAAATTCTTTTCTCCATGCTTCTACAGGAGACGCTAGCAGATGCCTACGCAGGACGCAACGCCAACATCGCAGCATACAAGGATGCCATTGAACATGAGAAGACTGAGCAATGGAGACTGGATGGAAGGAAACAGCTCTTTGATGCAAGGAGGGTAAGGACTGAATGCACTCCTCTCTTTACGATGATATTTAGTGGTAGAGTCAAATCTGCTTTGTACCGCAGTCACAAAGATGAGACTGACATTAGATTGTCCAGAAAATAGGGATGGCCAAGAATTAGTTAGGTTGGATCAATTCAGAGCTGATTTGGAGGTTGGATGGAGTAGTGTACTACATTATTGCAGATTTTTACAAGAGCCATTGTGAATTCAGTGCATCATTTTATATGGAGTGGCTTATAGTCACTTGTGTGTGAATCTTCAAGGTGATTTTGTGGCTGAAGCAAGAGCTTGGAACTAAAAACAACTGAGTTTGCAGTTAAAACAAGGTATATAGATGAACATGTACAATTGAATATGTTTTAAAAAAAAACTAATTACAGCAAAAATATGGTCTTTACGGTATGCATTTGCGCTGCGTTACGACATCAATAGGTTTTTATTAGGTGAAAGGAAGGCCGGTTGAAAAATACTAATTTTGATGGTAAAATACTAATTTTGGAGGTGCTGAGTACTAATTTGTACTTCCAAAGGTTGGCAGCTCTGTATTAGTGTTCAAATACAGTCAAACCTGTCTATAGCAACCGCCCAAGGCTAACATGAAAAGTGGTCTTTACAGACAGGTGGTCACTAAAGCAGGTCTAACTGTATAATGGAAAAAAAGTGATGTTTTATGGGAGGTTTCAAAAAGAGTTGAAGAAGGGCCTGATAAGAAAGGGATGTTTTACCTACACATACATGTACAACCGCATACACAAGACATTTGGTTATTCTGATTGTGTGTGACTGTTTGTAGAAAAGTGTAGTAATGAGATTGAATATGAAGAAAGACAAGTGAGCAGAGACTGAGAGAGAGAGTGGATTAAATATCAATATTAACTGTGTTCATATTTATCGTTTGCAGGAGAACGTAGCTATGAGAATGGAGATTGAATACAGAGAAAGACTGCAGCAGGTAGCACAGGCAGTCCAGAAGAAGATGGTAAGTTAACCAGTCATTATCATCAGGTGCCAGGTCTGTTACAGACATCAGCGGTCATGGCCCTCCCTTCCATTTCTGTCTATTATCTGTTATTCTTAACAATTTGTGGTTGCCCATTTTTTCAGGCTTTGCGAATATGTGAAGTCGTTGCCTTCCCCTGCAAGTTACAATAACTGAGGTTCAGTGTTAGTTATTGATACCAAGTTTTATGAAACAGGGCCATGATCAGAGCCTTGATCAGAGCCTAGATCAGAGCTTTGTGTTAGGCTAAATACAATCATCAAAGAAACTAGAATCTGAGATGTGGTAATGTAACAGGACGAGATAGCATGAACTTGCCCAAAGACACTGGGCAACGACCAAGTTGTTATGAGTGTGGGCTCACCTATGGACTGCAGTGAACATGTCTTTAAAGGCCCACTGTACTACTTGTAGCCACTTGCTCCCTCTTTATAGAAAACAATGTCTAATCGGTGACCATTGGTTCCCCATGATCCTCTTTTTCTTATGTTAATTGAGAGCTGAGTTGATGAGAAAGCCACCTGTCAGTGACCATGCTGGGTGGTCTAATCCCTCCTGGCCAAACTAGTACAGACAGGCTTTAACACCTCAATTAATTCATGCCAAAACAAATCTCCATTGCACCTTATAGGACTACCATGTTGAGCTCGAGAATACCAAGAGACGTCTAGAGCAGCAGCACATGGTCAGATGGATTGAACAGAATGTTGTCAAGAGCATCACACCACAACAGGTAGGTTCAATACCTCTCCTTACATAACAACTTAACACCTGGGTGGAGACAGTCAAATGTAGATTAATATTTTATAATTTGTTATATTTGTCAAAATTTATTTATTTTTGTAAAAGAAGTGATAGTTTACAAATGACATGGGAATGTTTATTTTTTATCAGATTTCATTATCTTATCGATTACTTTGACAATAGACAGATTAACAACTAAATTATTTGCACGCTTACCAAGTTCTGTAACTTTTTAAGTATTTAGAAAAATTGATTTGTCCCCATTTAAGTTTCTTGAGAATGTCACTTAGTAAAGCTTCCATCTACAAGTATAAGACAAAGACCCTTATTCAACCAGCCAACCTTTGATTCTTGAGTTATGAAAACAAAAAATACATCAAATTTACAAAGGGTATGAATAAGTTAATTGTTAATTAACTGTAGTTTAACTTTTTTCTATTTCCGCTCTATTTACATGTATGAAGGTTTTGAAACAATTTAGATCATATGGATGTAAATATATTAATATAGAACAATCCAAAGTAATGAACTGTCACAATCTAATTCTATGATGCCATATTTCATTCTTATTTTTGTTTCTTTTCTGTTTCTCTCATACTTACAGGAGAAGGACATCATGTCTACATGTATCTCAAATCTGAAGAACCTCGCTCCTACAGCATGAGAAAAATAATCTTCTAGTCGTGTATAAAATATTCACCTGTTCCACGGTTTCTACCATAATGTTTTCTGTGCAGAGTATATTGAAAGTGTGTAATGTATTTTGCCTCCCTGAATGAATGAACAGTTGTTATGCAAACATCATGCTCGACTTGGAATAACAAATTCTAGAATTATTTATCGAGACGTCCATATCGCAGGATGCGTTTTGAATATAAAGTTGAATCAAATTCATAACCAGTGCCCTTTAGTTTCTGAAAGCCTATTGGATTCTTAGAGTATTGGTCAGGAATTTGCTGGTTTGGTTGAATAAGAAATGAAAGAATTTAACTTAAAATTTCATCCTTTCTCTTACTTCTTTGTGTATATCAGAGAAGTCTTGAAAATTGGTTTTTGATAATCTTCCCCCCAAATACCCAAGGCACAGCATTTGGAAAGAAACATGGTTTGATCAAATAGTCATGAAAGCTGGCGTTTTATGTGATGTCTGTATTGATACATTTCTATTTGATGATATTGATAGGTAACCATGGCAATTGTTACTCTGCAAGTGTGAAATGATATGAAATTCTTTTACAGAATATAAAATAAATGAACATATAGTTGTTTGAAAGAGAAAGAAAAGCTGTATTTGTCTGTTTTTCTTCATATTTTGATGGTGTGGGAGGTAGTAAGAGCTGCGATAGTTGTTTTGAAATGTGTATTCAACTTGTGGATACATTAATGTTTAAAAATAATAATAATGTTGTAAATGTAAAGAAACTCCATGTGATTTATGTTCCATCAAGGAGCAAATAATTAAAGATACATGATCAATTTATGAAGGCATACTAGAGAGAAGTGATGGAGAGAGAGAGAGAGAAAGAAAGAGAGGAGAGAGAGAGAGATTACTGTCTAGTGGAGAAAGAAAGGGGGAGAGAGGGAGAAAGGATAGAGGGAGAGAGTGAGACGAGAGGCTAGTGGAGAAAGAAAGGAGGAAGGAGAGAGAGAGAGAGAGACGAGAGGTTAGTGGAGAAAGAAAGGAGGAAGGAGAGAGAGAGACGAGAGGTTAGTGGAGAAAGAAAGGGGGAAGGAGAGAGAGAGAGAGAGACGAGAGGCTAGTGGAGAAAGAAAGGAGGAAGGAGAGAGAGAGAGAGAGAGACGAGAGGTTAGTGGAGAAAGAAAGGGGGAAGGAGAGAGAGAGAGAGACGAGAGGCTAGTGGAGAAAGAAAGGGGGAAGGAGATGGTGAGAGGAGAGAGAGGTTAGTGGAGGAAGAAAGGTGAGAGAGAAAAGCAAGAGAAAGGTGAGAAGAGAAATAAAATAGAAAGAAGAAAAAGGAAAGAGAAAGAGAAAAAGTAAGGAAAGAGGGAGGGGCAAGAAGAGAGAGAGAGGTGATGGCCATAGGGAAATGAGTGATAGCAGGATATTTATTGTAGAGCAATCCAACCCTTACATTAGGCAAATCTGTGCCAAATTCCAGTTAAAACACTGAGCAATTAGATATATCTGTAAGGTTTTAGAAAGTTATTTTCACTATGGTTTCATCCTGTTTTTCTCTCCACACTTATCAACTTTCCTGCTCCATCTAATCTTGCTTCTCTGAACAACGCAATAAATCATGAACAATAACAAAATAATATCTGCTTTATATAAAAGGATTTAATTTTCTTCATAATAATTTCAAATTGTGACTGTCTGTCCCATACCAATATCAAATATCTTTGCACAATATCTATCTTTCACAAGTCACTTCACCACTCACATAAACACATGTACACTCCATACCCTCTCACATAAAACCATCCTCAATTCTGAATTCTTCTAAAACAAAACAAAAAATGGTGGCAAAAATACATTTAACATTACAATTTGCTCAATAGTTCATTTGGAAACAGAGTAGGTGGTTTAAAAACACATTTAGAAGGTAAGATTAGAAAGATTTAGATTACATTCAATCGCCCTCATAAATAGATTACATGTAACACATCGATATCAAATTGCTTTATAATTTACTACATATAGCCTTCATAAACATTAAAGAACACAATTAGGAATCTGATTGTGTTTTAATCTTGGAAGAATTTTATAGCTTATTGTCAACTTACACCATAGAAATCTGACTGTAAAAAAAAAAAAACTTAGAGGAAAATGATTTTAGTGTTGACATTAATTTTACCAACACAAATTCTAACCATGCAAGGCTTGCAAGATTATTTAGTTCTTTTGGTTATAATTCATAGTTTTACTCCAGTTTCTCATAAAAGCTATTATATGATAAGTATTCAATCATATACATATTGTATACATTTTTATCTCTCTCTTTCTTTCTTGACATGTTCTTCAACTTACAGTCTGGACTATTTGTTATCTGGATGGAGGGCACCATTAGCACCCCCGTTTTATGAAAATTTGTTATCAATAACAAATGCAATATTTCTATGACAAATTTGCTCTAAGTCAATCGAATACCACGATTTCAGTAGCTTATAATAGTTATTGATAACAAGTTTTATGAAACGGGGCCCAGGGGGGTGTTTCACAAAGCCTTTTTTCAATGACAAATGACAAAATTCAGTGACAAACCTGCTAATAACCAATCAGAAACAAAAACTGTCATTTGTCACTGATGACAAGTTTTGTCAAACAGGGCCCATGTCTGTATAATCCATTGGAATAAATGATCCTATGATTTCACATCATAAAGATACCCGGTACTCATTGAAGTTCAAACAAAATGCATGCTCCATGTGAAACATAACTTAAATTTTAAAAAAAAAATTCCCAAGTATTTTGCTATTCAAATATATTTCCATTAAAAAAAGATCATAGGTCACATATTCCTTTTTAACCGCTGGCAAAATGTTCAACAATCATAGGTTGAACTTGTGCAATAGCATGTTAGGTAAAATAAGTTTAAATTCTACATTATTCCTTTTGAACTGACATGTGCATATGCATTAGAGTGCAACAAGGCAGTATATTGGATTTCAAGTGAACATCTATAAAGAAATGATATCTAAGAGTCTGATCTACATCTCAAAGCTGTAAGAGAAGAATAATCATCCAGTAAGAGCCTTAGGGGTGTTGAAAACACAATATGGGGGGGGGGGGGGGGGCAGATGCAGAAAAAAAGACCAATAATTGTACACACAATCATTATAAAAGGCAACAGCATATTTCTCACTCATTTGCAATAAATTAGCACTCGCGCAAAGTTGGCTAAGCAACCATATATAATCTTACACCTGTCAATATTAGATGCTATAAACATTCGAGCAAAATAAGCCCACAAAAAATGCAACAAATTATCAGTACTGCAATTTATGGAATAGACACATAACTTGCAATTCCTTAAAACTTTATATTTCTTTGCAATACACAACCAAATTATTTACAAATACATGCTAGAAAAGAGAGAAGGCAATATGGATTATAACCCAAGACAAATTAATAATGCTGTCTAAATGGTTTCAGGGTCAAACTATGTATATCAATTATAGAACCAGCTATGCAATAGTAAATATTTTTGTATCGTGAAGAAATTATGCACGATTCTTCTCTAGCTTTGTGTACTGGATCTAATAGTGCTAATGCGAACCCCTTTATATGTAACTCCCATAATCACTAATTCTCAAACATATCAAACACAAAACAAAAGATGGAAGAAAACAAAATCAAATTGTCTATGACATCAGTAATTTAGAGCTTGTATACTCAACATACACATGCATATATCTCTTTGTTCTGCTCTGACAGAATAATCCGATTTCAAAAGACCTTTTTATTTTCTTCCCATTGTTATATACTATGCCTTCATTTTGAGATAAAGGTGCCACACCATAATAGCTTTTTATTCTTAAGTTATGCAAAGTTATTCACACACATTTTAAAAGAAAATTACAGAAGGCAATTGCTACACAGCATAAATATGATACTTTTGGCAATACAGACACAATAGAATATTTGATGCATCATCAGAAAAGTGATATAAAACTATTAAAAGTATATTGTCAAAGAGCAAAATGTTAATACCCCGGCCACATCGAGACCGTCGACGTCAGACTGACAACGCATCAAACATGAATATTACGAATGAATGGCCAAGAATCGATCGGTTTGGAGTTGGTACAGCGGTGTGACTGACATATTAACTACATGTATGTTTTCAAGTATAGAAGTTACTCCCTTATAGCTCTGAATAGACGGTATGATTGATGAACTCTGTTCAGAACTACAAGGGCATAACTCTGTATTGAAGTATATGAGTTAACGCCCTTCTGGCTCAAAACAGACAAAATAATATCAGCAGACCCTGCACAAGGCTGATAGTGATAGCAAGGCTTTATCAATTAAATACTAATTCACCACTACTCTTGAATATCAGTAGAATAAAATAGGCTAAGTTGGAAAGAAATGATGATAATCACCCACCTCTTATGAATACAATCAGATTTTTCACAAAAATGGCTTAAATCTATGGTGACCTTTAAGTTATAGAAGTTGTGTTTCTTTAAAAAGAAAAACCTAAACTACTAATAGTCCATGTACTATGACATAAGTGAATAAATATCATAATTTCGCATCCTTTTGAATGTTACACTACACTTTATCAAAGAAACATAATCTATTTGGAAATTGGTAACTGAATGCGTACATTACTTTTGGCAATGTCCTTACTTGGATAAATGAGTTGGTTATATGTGTAACCAGTGCAATATTCCCTTCATCTAAGAAACACCAAGGATCTGAATAAAAATTGAGACTGGGATGATAAGCAAATCAGACCATTCAAGAGTTACTCTACATCCCAATACAAATTTGGCCAAACACTTTAGCAACTAATATTGAATGAATTTGGTAAATCATTTTTTTAAAATGCTATTTTTCTTCTTTCAAGCAGTGAATAACTTGGTGTTTTTTTAAGAGGAAGGTGAAATAATGTACAAGTGTAGAATTGTACATACATGTATCTGTAGAGAAGTCTGGAATACAAGAAGGCTTTGGGTATATTGCTTTCAAATATTTCAAAGTTGGCAGAATGTATATGATATGCAATAACATAAACATAGCTTCAGCGTCGTTAAATATCGACAAGTGCTTCAAATCCTGGGCAGCATTCCTCACATCAGCAGCAAATGCAGATATGAAAATACAGTCTTAAGGCCATGAGTGTGTGCATACACAGATGTCCTCATATTGACATTGATTGTGTGTATGAAAATACATTGCCATTTATGCCTTGTGCATGTGTTTAACTGGTATTAAGTCCTCAGATGTTTCTTATGGATGACCCCTCACTGCACAGATGTCCTCACACGTACACAGTGTGTGTGAAAATATACTATCATCGGATGCCTTGTGTGTCTGTTGAGCTGGTGTTAAGTCGTCAGAGGTATGTTATGATTGAACCCTCAATACACTAACGTCCCCAGAAGGTTAGCTGTAGCAGCTGGACAATCAGACGGACGGTCATCTTCAATGACAGATGTCCCCAGAAGGACCGACGGGGCGCTATCGGACAGCGGTCATCAAGCCTTTCTTAAGCATGATAGCCTCAAAGTCCTGATCTTCTTGCTGCTCCCTACAAATGGAAAAAAAGAGGAAGAAAAAATAAAATTAAGAGTGAAATCATTGGAAACAGACAAAGCAGTGCTGTCCTCCAAGAGATGGCAATCTGTGCCCAAATCCTCACATGGTTTCCAGCAAAGGTCCATACATGAACCACTACAGAATTAGTACCGGTAAGCATACATGCAACAGAGACGTTATCTTCCTCTACAGACCACACAATGCTACATGTACCATTAGATGTTATGGTTAACAGGATCCACTTTAATCAATGTTAAACATGAAATACACATAAATGCTCATACCCTGGATTAAATTACCCCATTGCTGACTGGAATTGGGTGATTCCTGTATTAAGCCTATAGGAATGTGAGAATCTAGTAGTCAGCAGGTTAAAGGTAAAGACCAGTATTGGAAACGCCCCTATTTCAAAAAATGAAATGGAAGCTCTCATTACCAATCATGTGAAAGAATATGTTTTGACTAATACATGATGATAACAAATTTGCCGGGAAACCGCCTACTAATTCGTATATTTGGTAAATTTGTTTCTCTCATGGTCTGTGAGAGATATAGGGTAGTCCCATATACATCTTTCTGTGTATAGTGCTTGTAACTTTACGAAGAATGGGCCAAATTTCTTATCATTTTGATGATTCCAGAACCTTGCAGATGCTAGATGATCAACCTTTCCTGATCGATTCCACAACGTTTCTTTCACAATGCAATCGCATGACCATAACTGGACTTTACCTTTAACATGGAAGTACAATTGACAGATTTTTTATGTGGCAGCAGTTCACAAACCTCAATAGAACCTATACACTCCTGCACTGAATGAATTCAACCATGTGATCCTAACATGTGGATAGTACAGTACTAATTGCTCCTGCGACAAATGCTCTGGACCAGTAACCTATCCTAATCAAATCCTTGCTCCTGAACCCAACCTTGGTTCTGACCCTAAACCTAAGCCTACAGTAAGTTAAAACCCAATTGCAACCCTACCCCTAACCCTATACCTTTGATGAAATGAAGCCCAGAGCGATTCCCGCCGAAGCAAACATCAGATCAACAGCACTTTCTCTAGCAACCAATTGCTCAAGACTTTATTTCATCAGAAAAACAGGATTATGGTCAGAGTTGTGGTTGAATCTTAGGTTACCCAAAGGGTCGGGTATAGGTTGAATTATAGGTTGAGGGTTAGGGATTTGTTAGGTCTGGGGCCAGAATTAGTTATTGGAACTTGTTAAGGAATTTCACTGTTGAGGATTTTAACCAGAGCATGTGTTGAACAATCACCTTTCATAGCACTGAACTTGTACATGTACATCCATTTCACAATTCTCTTTCTTTTGCACTTATCTTTGAGATCAAAAGTTTGCCTCTCTGATAATAATATTGATCCCTGGATTATTTCATCAAAGATAAGGATTAGGGTAAAAGTTGAAACCGGGCTTTCGATTAGTAGGATTATGGTTAAGGTAAGAGTTACATGAAGGTACATTATTTTGTCCACAGTTGAAGTAAGGAATTCGCTTAACGTAAGTAATTGATAGTGAGGCCATTCGTCGGCTGCCTGCAATAAGGTTGTTTAATACTGACATTGATGACCTTCTTGCAGGCAGCCTGGGATTGGCGCAGGAGCATGAGTCTTACAACCCTGGGCCCTGTCTTACAAAGAGTTGTTATCAATCGCAACTAGGTACATAGGAGATAGGAGACTGCAAACTTGCGATTGATTTGGATCAATTGCAACTCTTTGAGAGACAGGGCCTTGATCTCACATATAATGTATTCAACCAACCTGTTAAGTTAAATGAAGAGTGGTAGATTTGAAGGCACAGAGTGAGTGTGTGAGTAATGGATTAGAGAGGGATTCACTCACATTCCCTACAGCTAGACTCTGGAAGCAGAGGGGGCTAAAGCTTGGGAGGGGTGGGGTGCATGGTGGGGCGGGCAGGGGCACTTTGGTTGATTTTGGAAGAGGTGCTTAAATAGATATCTGTGCATAGTCATGATAAATGCAGAGAAAAGTTACCAGACAGAACAAAACTACCAAATACTTTTTCTTTCTTTCTTTCTTTTTTCTGTATTTAAGGAAAAGGGTAAGCAATGTCTTGTATAGTAAAGGCTTGAGTTGAGCAGACCAACATTTGCAAATCTAGGGCAGTACCAAAGTGAACACAAACCATAAGAACTTACTAAATTGGATACTAAATCATAAGAAGAAATTAATAAACACATGAACTTTACATAATTTTTTTTTAAGAATCCAGAAAATAAACTATTAACATGGAGCACACTGAAGATGAATAGCTCTACTCCCTACTCATTACTGGTATTTTGTGAAAAGAACCTTCTCTTCTCGTTTTGCATTTTTTTCTCAAAGATGTAATTCTTTCTCTTTCCCTGTAAATTTGGTTAAATATTTGCCTTTCCACAGAAGTAGTGAATTTTAAATGTTCTCCTGGCAAGTCAGGAAGACTGTTCTCATTCTTTGAAAGTTCCTGAGATAAGATTGTATAAGGTGTAAGTGCATTAAGGTGAAGGGGTTGTAGCAGAACTTGTAGTCCATTCACTATCCCCACTGCAATGTTTGATGGTTTATTGTAAAGCATGCATATTAACATTGCAACATAAGCATGTGTAGAGCATTCATTAGAGACAAAGACAGGAATACATAATTGCAAATGCACAATATACGATTAGACAGTGATACATTTTTGGAAGAAATTATTATATCAAAGTAGCAATATGTTACAGAAACAGGTGCAAGAGTTGGATAGAATTTTGGTACAAATTCATAGAAGATTACAAGGGGACGGAGTACAGATTACGTAAGGGTAGAAAGCATTGGTGCATAGCATGCATTTATATGCAATCAGGGTTGTTTTGTTATTGTTATTATTATTATTATTGTTATTATTGTTATTGTACATGTGATGAAGGGATCGATTAGTGCAATGCAACATGCCATTAGGGACAGTAGGGTATATGAAATACATCATAGGAAATGTAATGTAATGTCATAGAATTGTTTTTTGTGACAAAATGTGTCAGTATTCGAGGGATACACAAAATAATTTAGAGAGATTTATATAGCACATGTACATTTAAGTTTTAAAAATAAGAGGAAAAGAGTAAAAAACAAACAAAACAAAAACAGAGTGCATAACATTGTAAAAAATAAATAAAGTAAAAAAAAAAAAAGAGTAAAAATTGCATACATTTTTGTATATTTATTCACAATAAAAACAAGAGGAAATAAATTTAAAAAGAATGGAAGTTCCAAGATCCGCAATCAAAATGAGATATTGGAGTTTAAAAAAAAAAGAAGATATGCGACAGTGACGTGAACATACATGCAGACCATTTAAAGGAGAATACAAGACGATCAGGGAGGGAGGGAAGGATGAGGAAGAAAACAAGAGAAAGAGAGAAAGAATGAATGAAATGTGTAAGAGATTGATCAAAGACACATTATTAGATATCACACAACAGTAGCACATAAAACTGTTGGCATTCACTAAGTTACTTGACGAATCACATTCATGGAGTACAATGTGATTTGAACAAGTGAATATGAGGAACGAGAACACAATTATGCAATCATTTCTCAAGGTGTGATTCAAAGACAATTGCAACAGAGACAATAAGCTACAGTCATTTCTGGTTAGACTACTGGAACATGTAAGTGTTATGTTGGAAAGACCTTGTACAAGCCATTCCACACATCATACAAGCATTTATATATAAACAGAGTCATACCATTATCTTGGAATTGTCAACAAATAAATTACACATGTGCTACCAAAGAAAATCACATTATTGAAGACATTTGAAAGCATCATATCACTGAAGACTTTTAAAGACAATGTCTGTTGAAAGCCAGAAGGATGTTAACTCAATGTAAACAAATATAGGAGTTAATGCCTTCTGGTTCTCAACAGATGATACAAGCATGTCCATCTTTAATAACTTCTTGTTGATGAATATAATTATTAGTTGTTGCTATGTCAGTAAAACATCAGGCAACTGAATCCCATGCTATTAATGATATCCAAACTAATTTGTTGACCCACACAAAATGTCCACTTCACTGCTTACCATAACAATTCAAGTCAAAATATCATGCTTACGTGATCACAACACGGTTTATGCTAAATTCTCTGGATTACAGTTTGTTTCTTTGTTAGTTTGTGTTACCCGAGTGCTAAAAAGCATGTGTATGCTTTTTAAGTAAGCAACCAAGGGACCGACGGCTTTAAGTTCTCTCTGAGGGACTTGGTAATGAGAATTAATGCCTTACCAGGGCACTAGTGCATCAACTTGATTTTGAACCGTAAATCCTCAGAAAATGGGATGGTGGGGGTACACCCCCTGTATATTATCAGAGATCAAACTAGGTGGTGGGGGTGTAGTCAAAACATAAAATGTCCAAACCAAATATTTCATGATCTGTATTTCGACTAACCACTTTAATTTATGTCCCTGTTTGCACAAGACTACATTCAAGACATTTGAAATTGGTGACGACTTGTTTCTCCCCCCCCCCCTTAAACAAAATATTTTTGTTTACTTTGGAATGGAATTTTAAATTTCATTGGTATGCCTAAGTAATGGATGTGAATCCATGCAATGTGTTAATACAATGAACCCTAAAAGTAAACCGTTCATAATGCATTCAATAAAACACACACACATTCAATTATACCAATCAGAAAATTACAGCCAACCAATAAATAATTTGTCACTAAAAGAGAAGCACAAAACACAATAAACTTCTTCCATGAATTATCATGGCCACTAGCATTGGAAAAGAATACCATCTTCATACAAATTTAACAACTAAAATTAGCTTTTTGATGTGTGAAGTGAGCTTTATATCTGTGAAAGTGATCATCTCGGGTGAAACATCAAAATCTAGTGTGTTGTAGTTTAAACTAAATAATTTAGTCCTAAGTTAACTTTAATGATAAGAAGTGGATTCCCTACAAAATGTGAAGATATCTAGAAATTAAATAAAAACATAACTTTCTATCAGAGTGCATCTATAAATTCTAGATGGTTTACAGCTACAATCAAGATCAAAAGTACTCATTTAATGGGGAGTATGCAATTGAAGTTTTAATTTATGTGCTAGTAGGTTTGTATTTTTTAGTTCCCCTACGAGAAAGCTAATACCAGACATTAAATTTTTTTTTAATTCATATAGTGCTGTTAAATAAAACATATATTATTTACAATTATATAAATATATATCTAAAATCTGTCACAAATTGTAACAGAGCTACATGAATGACAATAAGTAGTAAGTTATATATTTGTCAAGAAATTAATTATATGAGTACAGATATATATGTAAAAAGACACATGCATTGTATTTTTAAAAAAAATCTATAATACTACCTTTAATACATAACTAAGTTTTCTCTTTTCAGGGAAGAGTTGTGTACAAGAATATGAGAACTGACTAGAGCAAAATGTTACTTTGATTTATAAATAATAAAGAGATTATTGTCACATTTTATATCTAGAGAACATAATGTGTATATTACTCTAAAACTAAATTATGTGAGTGTCTTTATATACTAATACTTTTTGTAATCTTCCATGCAATAATAATTGCTCAAACACTACAATTCTGAACACAATATGTGGGTGTTAATTGGCGTAAATCTAAAACAAACATGTTTATTAGTGAGTTTTACAAAGTATTTCTTCAAAGAGAAATCATTCCATATATCAAGCGGATAATATATAACTTACTGTAAGCCAAGCGCAGTTTCATCATACCTGGATATAACAACATCAGCATAATGAGTATAATATGGGTATGGGCTGAAAGGGGACGGGACTTAACATGGGATAAGGCTGGAGGGGGCGGGGCTTAATGGGGAACAGGGCCAGGAAGGGACCATAGCTAACAGAGAGAGAGATAGTTACGTTACTGCAAGTTTTTTTTTATGGAGCCTCAAATGGTTCTGAAAGGGGGCGGGACTTAACATGGGTAAGGGCAGAAGGGGGCGGGGCTTAATAGGGAACAGGGCCAGGAAGGGACCGTAGCTAACAGAGAGAGGTAGTTGCGTCACTGCAACTCTCTCCTAATTGGTCAGTCTTTTCATGGAGCCTCACATGATTCCCTCATTGAATTTGTACCTATGCATTTTCTATGCCAAACATGTTCTATCTTCCAATTTTTGGATAACTAGGTATTTCAAAACCAATTTTCCACAAATCTTTAATTTTTAAAACAATAAAAGTATACTGCCAAAAGAATTAATAGTATACATGTAAATTTGTATTTCAGTGAAGGAATAGCCATGTTTGATGCATGTGTAATATCTCTACGATGAATATCTTAGTGGGAATTATTCTGAGCTCCATGATTTAACCTCATATCAAGCTCTGTAAATGTGTTGCAACTATTTCTCTCAATACCATATGGGAAGGAGTAGCAGTGACTGCAAAGGCTGACAGCAAAGATATACTAGGGAGATGGGAGGGATACACTCCACCCTGTTTGAACTAAATATATATACCGGTACATATATATCTTTTCTTTTTGGTTGGGGGGGGGGGGGGCTGTAAAAAAAAATCATCTCTTTCCACTCAGGATGCAATGTGGGTCATGGACCATATATGAAAGTCAATATGGATTCAAATCACGAAAAATATCTCTTAAAATAAGATAAATTTCAAGCGCATAAAAATGGGATATCATCACAACATCCTAAAGAAATCATATGTAGATTGCAATGCATAGCATCAAATCAGAAAATAGCATTGGTTATTATTAAACTGATAATTTAAACAAGAAGCTAGGTTTAAGATCAGTCAACCATAAGTTTGAGTGTCTAAGACCACGGTCTAACTCATGATCTTGTTTACACTCTCCCTCAACTGATCTTAAACCAAACTTAAGATTTAACTTCTTCTCAAAAGCTAATATGGGGGTGTCTCACAAAGACTTAATCAACTTTAATAAGTTGGACTTGAACTATGGCAGGCCGTTCATGCCACTGTTTGCTCTCACAATTTACTGGCATTGTTCTCTCAAGGGACGTACAAATCGTGGTCACAAATCTACAGAATGACATTTTTGTATAATTCATTATTGAAGGAAAAAATGTAGATTCTGTAGATTTGTGACGTGTCCCTTGAGAGACCAATAGTGAGAGCAACCAGTGGCATGAATGACCTGCCATAATTGAAGACCAACTTAAGTCGACCTTCGTCTTTGTGAAACACCCCCTGGTATATCTGAAAGCTATTCACACTTTGCAAACTTAAGTATGGAAGCAAGAGTATTACGAGATCATTCAAAAACAATATTCCCTTTTATATACCAAGGGTTGGTTGATACATTACACATTTGATCATACTGGCAGTAATCACTTTTTCAAGGCTATAATGCTGTATTTGCTACACAAAGCAAAACATAGTCTGTTTTCCCATTTTTCTACTACTACTGAATGCTCTGGAAATGATAATTCTTTTTTAACCTGCTATAAAATACCAAAAAAATAAATTAATGTTTTTTCAATATTTGAAATGAAAAGAACAAATATAAGCAAAGAAGAAGAAATGAAAAGGGTAAAAAGGAAATGGGTGTGGGGTGTAGGGTGAAACGAAAGAGTTTTTTGTTTGTTTTTCTATCTGACATTTTAAACTTTCTATAAAATATACAAGAAGAACATTATTTTTTTAAATAAATGAACAGAATAAAGATATACATGATGAAGGGAAGGAGAAGAAATGAAAAAGGTATGAAATGTGAAGAGGGTGAAGGGGTGAAATGAAAAAAGGCTTCGCTTTGTGCGATTGTTTTTCTCTATGAGAGAGATTTTAGGTTACAAAGGGACAAAAACGCAAGGAAACAAAAACAAAAACATAACCACACAGCTGAGGGCATAAGGGTAATCCTTTTTAATAATAAGAGAGTAGTAAAGTTAGACGGGGAAGGGGCAAGGATAAAACAATGAGGCACGAAAGAAACAAAACAAAACAACCATATCATGCATTGGGAAGGGGGATGGGGGGGGGGGGGCATAAACAGATTGTAACAAGCGAGGCATAAATTTGCAAGCTTTTTTTATATGTCCCTTGGCTTGCCCAATATGACTTGAAATGAATGCTTTACTTTTAAAATGAAAGTAATAATCCCTTGATTTGTGATGAAATATGTCATGAAGTTAATGAACGATGCTATGCTCTTAATAGCAAACTATAAATCAGTTACTGCAAGTACAGCTCAACTTTCTTCTCAGCAACTTTTTGCCAGTTCCTACCAACTTCTTCAGGAGGTCTGATCTCTGTTCTGGGGAACACCGGAAGAAGCCAGTAAAAACTGGTACAAACTGGCAAAAGGTCGTGGAGAAGTAAGTTGAACAACGCTTCCAGTAACAGATTCATAATTTGCAATTAATTTTTAAGACACTGGATGAATCATTATGTACATGATGCTATGATATATTTATGCATATCTTATAGAAGCATACACAAGCAAGAGCAGCAGAGTTGGTCAATTACAGTGCAGCATTTTAGTTCATTTCACTATGATTGATAAACTTTTTTTTTCTTAAACGCACAAATTGCCGCTTTTGAGAGTCAATCAAAATAAAAAAAGTTCCATTTAACAGGAAAAACAACAGGATTTGTAATGTACAAGTGCTTCAATAAGTCTGAAAAGAACCTATATCTAAAATGTGACTGTTTAAGCAAAACACTGCATGACTACTGAAAAACTGAATGTACGGTATCTTTAGATGACACAAGTTGAGCAAATAAATAATAGAGGCATTTCTGACAGTTTACGATTTATCCAGACTTTATTAAATACAGTACCAACAATTTCCATTTTTCTTTAGCATACCATATTAAAAAATGTTTCCAGATGGCACCACCTTTAAACATGACTGTCTATTGACCGACTGTAGAGTTTTGACAAATTTGAAGCCCGAGCCATTATGGTTATAACCCAACCCAGCTGGTCATGCTCTGATTGGAATCCGGTGCCCCTAAAACACCTCTTCTAGAGCATTAGCACACCAGGTATTTTCAAGTTCTAGGTAAGACCTTCTAACAGATTCAGATGTATCAGGGAAATCTTGGTAAAACAAAGATGCCATTGCTGGATAAGAAATGAAACAATGACCTTTTGAATTATCTTGTTTTAAGAATGAATACTTTCATAAATAGTCCCATACAATTTGCTTGAGGTCCTATGAGAGGGTCTTTCCTTGAGATACTGACTAAAGTCACCAAATTGAAGGTAAAAATGAAAGGAAACAAAGCTTTAAGCTTAAATGGATGAAATGTGAAAGATTTTTGCGATGCTTTTGCTTGCCATTTAGACCAAAGATTAATTGATTTGAATGCACTTCAAAGCTAGCAGAAGGTTAGTAGTCCCATGTACTTACACACTGCACCCCTAGCTAGCTAGCTCAAGCAGCAAGCCACGCCAGGTACGCGTAGAGAATTAGCGCAACACACACGATCAGAAAGGCTGAACCGTGAAGGTTCGAAGCAGAGATGCTACAACACAAGGGTCAAAGGTCAAAGGTCAGAGGTTAAAGGTCGATAAAGAGTGCTCATGGAGGAAAGCAGTGGGATAGAATACTTATTGGATGACCATACTCCATGCATATTATTTATTTAAGTCATTAAGTATTTGGCTGGTTTTTTTCTTGACATAAAAATTCTTAAATTTGCTACCAGGGCCCAGTTGCATAAAACTTACCATTGATGGTAACTTTTCCATCAATGGCAACACCCATGGTAACTACCATGGTAACAGGGCTCAACAGCCAATCAAAAACTGGGTTTCCATGGTAATTACCATCAATGTGTGTGGTTGGTGTGTTGGTTTATCAGTCACCTTTACCAAGAGATCTACAATCATTTTTGTTGTATCTATAGGCCTACGTCATATGAATTTTGTTCACCAATAATCAAATGAAAGCCTTGAATTAAAATATAAATGCCCTAAACCTAAATCAAATGCAATTTATTTGATTGGATACAGGTACTTTGTCCTGCTAATAGCGACTCGCTGGATGCAACAACGTTATTGTCGCAAAGATAAAAAGCATAATTTTCCTTCTTCATTAAGCTTTAGAGGTTGAAGAGTGAAGTGCTTCTTCATGCATGTGTGTTTGTATATTGCATGGGAGCAGAATACATATGTTGAAGATGAGAGAGAGAGAGAGAATGACAACTAAATTCAATATTCCCTGTACCATACTTTATGCTTTTGAGTACTAGTATTGAGAGAAAATGAGATTAAAGGGTACCAATTGCATACAAAATTCATTTGTGTACAGCTAGTCGGTATGAAATCAACTTAAAATAAATCTTGTCCTGGCATTCTATAGGTCAACAGGTCAACAAACGATAACATAAAACCTCCAACGGACGAGGGGTGTAGCCCCGTGAACACCCTACTGTATACCACAAATGTATTTGGGTGCTTCGACTAGTAAACTCTACCCACAAATCACTTTTTTATCATGTCTACCGATATTGTATTCAAACTTGCAATATCCTTTTATACAAGTAATATTATAAAGTTTTGACTAATGTATAGCAACAAGGACCCCCCCCCCCCCCTCCTACCAACATTTTTTTTAAAACGATGTGATTGGTACCCTCTATTTTTATATGATAGAATGCATGAGATATGACCAGCCTCTAAACAAGCATATACATATTACGTAGAGGAGGGGGTGGGGGCATTGCAGAGTGTTTATACATAAACAGGTGGATATAGTCAAATGACGTATGAAGCTAAATACAGCTGGGTTTTTCAACTTCTAACTCCCACCTATAGAGAGCCACTATTGACAAACCTAACGATAACACCTTGCACGATACAGTGCATTGCCTGCTTGAAGCCAGAAGGGTGTTAAACTCTATGTAAAATAATGGGAGTTAAAGCCCTTTTTGACTCAAATAGAATATGTATTCAATGCAATATTTGTAACAGTGATCTTGATTCCATGACATACCACAGTTAACCTTGGCTGTTCAATTTACAATGTTTTGTGAATTAAAGGCAGAAAGGTACAGGTGCCAACAGAGATGCTGTATTACAACAGGAATTAGATGCATAACCCCATGTCACGCATTCTAGCACTAAAAAGGATTTCGCCTTGTTATGTAACATTTTGTACATACAGCAGAGGATAAGTATGAAGGATAATGGAGAGGTGGGGAGGAGGGGGAGGGTCAGATACAAAAAGCTGAAGACAGAGAAAAGGAGTGGATAGACAAAAACTGGAAGGAAGAGGATGAGAAGTGATAGAAGCTACATGTAGGAGTTCAAGATAACTGCAACTGTAAAAAAGAGTGAGTGAAAATGAGATAAGACAGGATGAGAGAAAGATATAAATATTGAAGAGAGAATGGGAGAGAGAGAGAGAGAGAGAGAGAGGGGGGGGGATAGACTGGGAGAGAGAGGGAGACAGAGTGGGCAAGAGAATTGGATGGAGAATGGGAGAGGGGGAGTAAATGAGAGAGTGGATGAGAGAAAGAGAGAGAGAGAGAGATAGAGAGAGAGACAGAGAGAGACAGAAAAAAGGGCTAATAGAGAATGAGATATATTTTGAAGAAAGAATGAATATGATCCTGCGCCAGGAGTGTCAAGTTGACAGATATGGCGCTTTACAAAAGGCCACCTTATTATTATTATTATAAAAAAGGGATAAATATTGTAATGGTTGATGTATCTTACTTGACTCTTTCTTCCTCTAAGAATGCCACCAGGGCATCTCGTTGTTCTACCACCTCCAGCATCTCATCTAAGAGAAGCTTCTCCTGGTCTCTGTCGGTAGATGACTTCTTCCCTTCTACAGCAATCAAAATAACGCAAGGATGAGAGTTAGTTTTCCTATCATTACCTTATCCATTGTCAATTTGTTTATACATTTTATACATATATATATTCATATTCATATTCATATTCATATTCATATTCATATTCATATTTATTTCATTTCCAACAGAAAGGTAAAACAAAGATATCACATTTGATTTCATACATAATTCATTCATATATATATATATATATATGTACAGTCGAGCCTGCTGAAGTGACCACCTGTCTACAAAGACCACATTTTTTGTTTCCCTTGAAAATGGTTTCTTATTGAAACATGAACTAAAGGAACCTGTCTACAAAGACCACCTGTCTACAAAGGCCACCTGTTGTGTTTCCCTTGGGCGGTTGCTATAGACAGGTTTGACTGTACCACTTTAAAAAAGAAAATTGTTTTTCCTATCTCTTGTTGGACCATGATGGGAATACAAACATATAATTAGATACAGGTTCAAATATTATTTCTCAATTTTGAAGAATGCAAACTAATCTTAAATATTACTTGATTATGAATTACTTGATGAAGAAATGAACAATGATAACTCAATCATGTACGTCTACATTTAACAAAACATCGAAGTCCTGACAATGCTTAATCTATTACTATAGGCCAATTCTTCTTGAAATAGTATCTTTATCCATTTCATTACAAAATCAAATTGACAAAATTTGTGTTCAACTCTTTAACAAAATGTTGACCTCTACATTTGGAAATTGAGGGGAATCCCCAAGATATTCTGCTCACCTCCTACTGCCATGATAAGCCTCAGCTCCTGCTCCAGCTGACTATGACGATCCTCTAACTCTAGCTCCCTCGCTTGAACCATCAGCTCCGTCTCAAACCGGACGAGGGCATTCTTCTCATTGACCAGACTGAACCATTCTTGCATGAGGGTGGTTTCATCCACACCTTCGGGAGCTGAGGGACGATGGGGGAGGGTTTATTGGGGAGGGGTGGGTCGTGTTAATGTGAAGTGGTTATTAACATTAGATCTTTTGTTCATCAGGCATGTTAACATTAGGTAACATGCTTTATCTACATTCTCATGATGCTTTTAAAATACTTTTTCCTGACATTTCTGAAATTATTCATCTTACTTGCAAATAATATTGCTGATGCTAAACACTGATCAGGGCACTATTTCATAAACTTTTTATCCATAACAAGTTACAATAACTGTTATAAGCTACTGAAATCATGGCATTTGATTAGCTGTGAGAGCAAACTTGCCATAGAAATTTAGCATTTGTTGAAAATAATAACGAGTTCTATGAGACAAGGCCCAGAACCAGTGTATATTCTATTATAAATTATAATCCATGTCTCATTGAGCATACATTTTAGCATACAATTCAGATTCAAGTCAATTTCTAAAATTATCTCTTAGATTCTTATACCCTTCCTTACGAGTCAACATCCTACAAATGCAAAAAGAGATAGATTGAGTATACATCTGCTATTCCTGATAGATGCTAATGCAAGCTCATACCCTCTTCTCAATAAATAAAATGTTGTGCAAAATAAATGAACTAATGTTATAAGAATGTTACTAGCATTCATCCAAGGTTAAAATCGATGCGTGCGGACGACTTACTTTCTTCGCCGCGGAGTGCCCTTTCTGCAGCGACCCCACGGTTCTCCAGCTCCCGCTGTTTGACCTCTACTTCCTGCAGCTGACGTTGGATCTCCTGGGCCAAGCGATGGCGCTTTAGCTGCTGCTGGTGGTGCTGACGACGGGCTTCCTTCTGGACTCGCTTCGTCAGCCGGGCGCTAAGCTCCTCCTCCTCCATCTTTCTCTTCTCCTGATTGGTGGAATGAGGTGGAATGAGAGAGAGAGAGAGAGAGAGAGAGAGAGAGAGAGAGAGAGAGAAGGGTAGAGAGAGAGAGAGAGATAGAGAGAGATATATATATAGAGAGAGAGAGGGGGGGAAGAGAGAGAGAAATAGAGAGAGATAGAGAGAGAGAGATAAAGAGAAAGGAAGAGTAAAGAACAAATGAAGAACAATCAGTAAAAAATTCGTGCTTTTCAATGTTTAAAGAATCATTGTCGAGTTTACGATCCTGGAAATTGATTTGAAAATAAGAAAATACACACATGCTAGTGATATCAACAGAAGAACAAAATACTGTTGGTTTTTTTTCTCTGGAACATGCCAAAAACATTTTGAATATTTTGAATATGACCTTTTTCTGTGGACAATTATATTCCTTCTACTTCGAGCTTACATTATGTATTTCAATATTGATTATCATGCACTACACACCGCCACGTACAGGGATGTATGCTCAGGATTAGCGGTAATATTTTGCAAGAAAGTGGCGATACAAACTATATATCTCTGAGAGCCGTTTCGAGCAAGAACAGTTCTGCCTCCATGTATACACAAGTGCATCGAGTATGTTACATACATACAATCTTTATAACTCCACAATACCAGGACCCTGTTTTATAAACTTGTTATCATTAACAAGCTACGATAACTATTACAAGCTACTGAAATTGTGGCATTTGATTGACCGAGAAAAATTTTGTCATATAAATTAAGCATTTGTTACTGATAACAAGTTTTATGAAACAGGGCCTTGGTCTGAACAAGTAGTTATATTCTACGCTAATAACTCCTTGCTCTGACAAGGTAGTGTTGCTACGTCAGACAAGACTCTGGCAAACATTTAAAGTTCAGCATTTGCTCAAATTTTCTGCTTATATTCTGCTTACAACCGCAATACATTTTGACACAGCTCTATAGAATTTGCACTAACATGAGTAGAACAAAGTCATAATAGTTTATATTTTCTACTGGTATTCATAACACATTTCTATAGAATGTAGAATATCTACCAACTTGAGTGGAAGAAAGACCTATCTCCATGCATATGTTCATAATATTCATGACGGAATTAGCTTCGTTTTGATACTAAATCATGCACATCATATCATGCCCATGATACAAGAGATGGAAGGAGAATGATACATGCATTGAACATGATCTTAAGAAGAATTGGTATAAGCAGTGTTAGGATCAAGGCTGGAAGTAAGGAAAGGTTGAGGAAAATATAGCTTTCATTCAAAGAAATATCATCCACTGCAAAACTAGAAACTTTTAAGACAAAAGTTCCGAGAGTATGTATTGACATCCATTTTTGTGGCAAGAAATTTCTTTTGTAAATGTCTTAAGTGTTTGCAAAAGTTTCTGGTTTTGAAGCAACTATGTAGTAAAATTAACTTGCGTTCTTTCCATATCATCTATTTAGATCACATAAAAGGGTAGAAACAATCATGTACTGGGCAGAAGAAAGGTTGTATAACAAAATGCTCTGGCGAAAATCGCTCTGTGGTTGATTCATTGCTTGAACTATATTTGAACCATGGACTAAACACTATATTACGGTATTAATAATCCTAAACCTAACCTATAAAACTCCTTTGAAAACCTAACCCTATCCCTATATCATTTTGATGAGCAATTGTTGCCAGAGCATACATGTATGTCGGAGCACTCAGAATAGATGCAGAAGGGATTAAATGCAGGAATTCCTCATAGTTACAAGTGTATATTTTATTCACAAGTTCCCTCATCTAATGCATAATATAGATATGCTATTTTGCCAAGCACACATCAATAAATTTGCAACAAACATCATTAGGAAGGGGGCTTTAGCTCTGCCTAAATGCACACACATGCAAATAAAAACAATTTGTATATCAACACTTCCGTTAGGAAGTCACACTGAAGGAGACGGACAGTCTAATAAATACTACGATTGAAAGATCTTTGAATTCACATCAAAATTCAGGCCATTTTGTATGGCGTCAATGGTTTTCTTACACATACAATGTAAATCTACTTGATCATGCATGGATCTACTTCCCTTCAGATGCGTAAATTATTTAGGAAAGGGAAATTCTTGAATAGCTACATTAAACTCTAAATATTGCAGGGAAAAAATTAAGAGCTCTGAATTCATAAGTTCACGTAGCAGGAACAAAGTTCATAAATCATTTCATAAGAAAAGCACATGCAGTTTGCACAATAGAGGAACTATAGAAGTTAGAAACAGAATTAAAAAATGCAAAAATGTAGTATCAGAATTAATTCCAAAGAGATATTTTAGTTGTCCATGAAGATTGGATATACATGCTTGGGTATAAGAGAAAGCATAAAAGGGTTGGTTTACGTTTTTGTTTCCAATTTTTTTCTGCAGGATAACAGGTGTGACACTTTACTGGGTTAACTACAGACAGAAGCTTTTAGAACCATAGGATGGCATAGGGTTTACATGAAACTTGGGAAATATATTATCAATGCATTAGTTACCGGTAGGGGTAGTTTAAGGTAGGGAAAGATTTCAACAAGCAAGATAGGTAGACAAAATGTGTCAGCACATTACAGATAGAATTATAAGCAGCATTTTGTAGGAAAAAAAAATCAGAGGATATTTAATGCAAATAAAACAGTAAAGACAAGGCCGAAATGGAACGTCAATTGTTAGAAGGTACTACGGTCTTGATGAAGCAAATAAGATTCCAATCAATTTTAAATGGGGATTAGGTTGGGTTTTTAACTATATGCATCTAAAGAGGGTATGTCTTGAGTGTTCATGATGGAGGGGGGCAAGTTCATTCTTAGATACGGGGGTGGGCAGCATGCACAGACAGGGAGGGAATGGTACCTGTTCTTGTCTGGCAGTCTTTTTACTCAAAGCCTGATAAGAAGATAAGACATAACATGTAGATAATTCTGAGATTAGATAACAGTCTCTTGTGACATACTTCAAGAAACTCCACAGAGAGTAACAAAGAGAGGGGGAAAGATGATAGAGAGGGAAGGAAACAGAAAGGTATGGAGAAAGATAGATAGATAGATAGAGAGAGAGAGAGAGAGAGAGAGAGAGAGAGAGAGAGAGAGAGAGAGAGAGAAGGTACACACTACACAGTAAAGATGTCTCCTTCCTTTTCTCAACTCAGAACACAAAAGATCAGCAATGCTTTTATAATTCTACAAGTTATCAGCTGACAAAACAACACCCAAACAACTAATTCAGAAAAAAGTTAGCAAAATTACAGAAGAAAATCCAGCAATATATGCTAATATGTCTTCTCATAGAGTTCTATTGTACTCTACCAAATCTATATAACAAATTAACTAAGAGACACTGTACTACATGTCCACAAATACATCCAAAATATCTTTCCCTGGCCATATCAGGAATTCTTCTGACACAAAGCAATCAGTGCAAGTGTGCTCATTTTGGAATTTGAAAAACGTTGTAAGAAACATCTGACAGTTGCTCTAAATATTAACCAATAGGCTACTAACTACAACAGAGTAAATGACTGCGTAAGTGCTTGAGGGCAAAACAATAGTGTGATACGTCAGTCTAACCAACAAGGCTGACACCAGACCAATAACATACTGAACGAAGTTTACCCCCTGGCCAAAAATTGATTTGGCGAAGCAACTGAGACAGAAGGGTATGAAAACTATATTCGCAAAGAACTGAGATCAAGAATGATGAACTAAATCTAGATTACCGGTACTAACACATGTGCTGTTTATTAACTCTATAGTAACAGTACAGATATACCTTGAGTTCTTTATACGACTGTTTCTTTCTATTCGTGCATTATGTGTAAGTGTAATGAAAAGATTGAGAAAATTATTACATAACACATTTACTGCCTTAATACTTATGATAAAATTGAACTAGATGACCATTATACTAGATGTACACATCTATAACTCTGCTACTTATAACTATCACTGCTGCATACTACTGCTGCTACTACTAATTAAATAAAAAATACACTTTTTATTTCTACTGACACTTATACATGTAACTATGAAATATTCAAGATCCACACTGAATGCTATTTCAACACATTTTTATGTTAATCCATATCACAATCAACCATACTATCATTAGTCTCAACATATTGCCGGAGAATGCACAACATTTCTTAGACATTGTTTGTTTGTTTTGTTTTTTAATTTTTGTTGCTAATTTCAAAGAGATAAAACAAAACAAAAAGCAATTAAAACTCTTTGAAAATTAACTTTGGCAAATTAGGCAAAATAAAAACCCACAAACCAAGAGAACAAAAAATAAAAATAAAAATAAAGAAGAATACTAAAACATATTTCAAAATAAATAAATAGCTAAATAAATGAATAAACAAAAACTGCAATAAAATCAAATAAAAATCACAGCAATCGATCTTTTCCCTTCATTCTATCTTCTTCTACCATACAAACCAAAAGGCAAGACCCCAAAGCCACACAGCACAAAAACAAAACAACTAGTAAAATGATATAAGGAAAACAAAACAAAACAGCAATCATAAAATCAGGCTAAAAAAACATAAAATACACTACCTCCTTGGTAGATGAGAATAAGAGGTCCAAACAAGTCGCAGAAATCATCGAAAAAAGAGGAAAATAATAGATTAAAATCCAAATCTATCAAAGAAATTAAATTGAGGTATTAAGTACTTAAGTTATTATAATAGCTCTCTGGCATAACAATATACTACTGAAAACTAAAACTCGCATTAAAAAATAGTGATAAATCCGATGTTCAATGTACCAGAACTGACATCTCGTTATATTTTACATTTTTCATGTCTATCCTCAGCACCTTAAAAATGTCTGCAAAATGGATACGGCAATATACAAACAGTCATTAATATTATTATTGAAATATAACATTGTAAAAATAACAAGAAAGATTTGTTTAATGTCTCTCATAAAAGTTGTTAGAATAACAAATAAAACAAAACTATATTACAAATTATGAATCTTCTGAGATTTATCAATGTTATAAAGAAAATTCATAAGCAATGAATTATAAAATTGTATTAAAACAAAGAAGATGTGTACCAGTGCCATGAGAGAAGGGTTAGATTTGATTACATTTAAAGTTTTTTCAAAATATCTTTGTCTCCAAAAGAGTCTAAATCCTGAACTATCCTATCTAACAAACAGTCAGGTTTGGCCTAAAAACAAGAACACACTGAAACTTATTAGCCAGGTCCAACATTGTACAGGTTGAAATGATATTAGTGAATATTTGGGTAGGTCTAACTCCTAGCTCTAAATATGTACTATAACTGTCTAGGGACTGATGACTAGAAACCTAAAACTGAATCACTTGAACACATTAGCCACACATATTTACATATGTACATTACAATCCCCATACAGACACTTAGCTAAGAAATGAGACTAAACGATGACAAAACTTTCTTTAAAGCCCCACTGTCCTACTTGTAGCTACTTGCTCCCTCTATATAGAAAAATTCCCCAATCGGTGCCTGTTGGTCCCCCATGATCTTCTTTTTCTTATGTTAGTTGAGAGCCGAGTTAATGAGATAGCCACCTGTCAGTGACTTCGCTGTGTGGTATAATCCCTTCTGGCCCAGTAGTATTGATGGTCTTTAAAAAAAGGATCTGCACATAGTAGATTGAAGGGCATCATCCTGATTAAAACACCCCACATTTAAGAAAGGTAATATTAGGGGAACAAAAACAGCCCTCCCCCCGCCCCCCCCCCCCAAAAAAAAAAGGGAGAAAAGAAATGACAATGGGCAGTTTTTATAAAATGATATAAATAAAGAAAACTTAAACTTTAGCCATTCCCATTGAGCTACATATAGACTAAAACAACAAAAAAAAAGAAGCCCATATTTCATGCGACCCTTACTCAAAGTAATTCTTTGTTGGATGAAATATATTAATTTTTACACAAACTTCTACGTCAGAAGATCTCATTGAATTTGCCCCACTAAATCAATGAATAATAAATGTCATAAATGTGGTAATAAATGATAAAAACAGGCACAAGTATACGAGTAGGAAAGGAAACATTCAAAGAATGAAATTGGTAATAAACAAAATGTTGGAAGGTAAAAGAGGAGAACTTGGATGGATGGAGAGAAAGGGAGAGAAAAGAAGAAGAGAGAAAAGAAAGAGAGAGAGAGAGAGAGAGAGAGAGAGAGAGAGAGAGAGACAGAGGATGGGGGCTCATGTGGGATGGGTTAACACATGTTTTAATCATCCCTAAATTCATTTCAAACAAAACCTGCTGTCCCATAATGATTGAAACTCCAGTTCGCCAATGAAATTTAAACCGCCATTATCAAGACAATAGTACAGAAAACAAACGGACTACAATATATGATACTGCAGCATGCATTCTGAGGAGGAAAAAAACAAACACCCCAAAACAAAAAAAAGGCTTACATATAGGTTTGTACAGACATGGCAACAAATTATAAACATAAAAAACTGTGCAAATGAGTGTATATATGAAATATAATTAGGTTTAGTCTAATTTCACAAACTTTGTTGTTTACCTGTCTCAGCTTTTTCAATGATCTTAATCTCTGTGTTATAGCATATAGACAGATCAAGAAAAATTGGTTGAACAATCGATGAACAATATGAGATCAATTAAAACATGATGTATCCTATGATCTCTTCCAATTTATATTAGATAGTGAGCTAAATTAACAAAGCTTTAAAAAAACTAATTGAGATTAATAAACAATATGAGATAAACTGAGACCTCATATATTTAAAGACTATGATCAGTTGCAATTAAGACTATTAGAGAGTTAATTAAAAAAAACTACAAGCTGAGCTTTTAAGATTTTAGTACAACTCTCTTTAATTGCTATATATCATCACTATGCTAGCTTTGTTTACCTTTAAAGAAAAGGTTAATATTGTACATTGGAAGATATTACATTAAGTTTAGCATTAGTTGGTTCTATCTATATTTCTGAATAACAATGGCGCTACGAGAGCTCTAGCATTAGGCAATTATAGTGTACTAAGTATCTTTATCATATCAAGCAGTAACGGACATTGTGGCAGATTAGCCTTTGTGCTATTAAACAAATTATCCAATAAAGTCTACTACTACTTAACAGAAATACAGACAAAACAATCATCAGCATCACACAAGAACATAAGAATACTGTTCTCTTGAAAAAATAAGGAAAATGAAAGAGGTTTAAAGGGAAATCAGAAGGGGGAAAGATTTGAAGAGTTGCTACTCCACTAGAAGAAAAAAAAATCATGAACGATCCTGTTCTGATATAAACATAATAGAACTTTGTAAGTTTGCTTAATCTCATTGATTGCAATTCTTTGTGAGGCATTTATAAGTTGTATTTTAAGCGCTATGCCACACCGACTTGGCAAGGTCAGCTACTAGCCTGTCAGTTCTGATTTTAACCTACTAAAAACCAATCTTGATTGGTACAGTTAGACTTGCATTCAAAAGAAATGTAACCAACAAAAAGTCTAACAAGTAACAATCAAAGATCAGAAGTTATCAAGTGTTGTGTTCAAGTTATTAAAAAAGAAAGAATTTTTGTTGTTGGAATAATCAATTATCAATAAATCAATTGCAAACAATTATAAAAACTTTGTAATCAATAACAAAATAATAGCAAGAAAATCTTGTCCTAAAAAAGACAGGTCTGTTAATCAGTATTAGACAACATTTTTGGATAAAAGTAATCCAAAATGGAGAAAAGAATGAAAAACCTTTGTCATGAAAAATGAAAAATCCCTTGTAGGGAAAGTCCAAAATTCATTAACAGGGGAAATCCCCTAATAAGGGGGAAGTCCCTAATATCTCACCTTGAATCGCTTGCCCCACATTCTCCTTGGGGATTTCCCCTTGGATCGAGGTGAGTCAGTGATCTGCTCAGTGGGTTCAGCGTCTGAGCTTGCCTCGTCTCGTTTCATTTCCTCCTCATCGGTGGTAGAATCGATGTCAAAGTCACCGGTGAGGTTGGCATCTACGCTAAGCTTCTTAACTGATGGTGGTAGTGGTAGTGGTAAGAGATGGTAGTAGTGGTAGTGTTGTTGTGGTGGTTGTTGGAGTGGTGGCAAGATGTTAGTAAAAGTGGTAGGTGATAATGATGGGGGAGGTGATGATGGCAGTGATTGTGGTGATGTGGTAGTGGTGGTTGAAATGGTGGCAAGATGTTAGTAATAGTGGTAGGTGATGATGGTGTGGGAGGCAATGTGGAGATGGTGATGGTAGTGATGATAGTGGTAGTGGTCGCAGATAATGATGAGGGAAGTGATGAGGGAGGTGATGATGGCAGTAGTGGTAGTGGTGTGGTGGTGGTGGTAGTTGAAGTGGTGGCAAGATATTAGTAGTAGTGGTAGGTGATGATGGTGAGGGAGGTCATGTGGAGATGGGAGTGGTAGTGAGGATGGTGGTAGTGATGATAGTGGTAGTGGTCACAGATAATGATGAGGGAAGTGATGAGGGAGGTGATGATGGCAGTAGTGGTAGTGGTGTGGTGGTGGTGGTAGTTGAAGTGGTGGCAAGATATTAGTAGTAGTGGTAGGTAGTAATGATAGGGGAGGTGGTGGCGGTAGTGAGGATGGTGGTAGTGGCAGTGATAGTGGAGTACATGATAATAAGATGGAATATAAGATTTCAGATGGGAAACGAGAAAAACATGAAATGAGTGTGATATACCAAATGAAGAGGAAAAAATATATGGAGGAGGGAAAGGGAGAAAAGAACATAAACATATAATTAATATATGAAACAAAAAAAATGTTGTTGTTATCATGTGACAAAGAGAGAGAGAGACTAACCTAATAAAATGTGATATTCTGCATCTAAACTCATACATATGATGGACATGGGCACTTGCCTACATGTATGGGGTGTTTCTTTAACCCAACTACAATTCATAATATGCCATGGCAGCTTCATTGAAGTGTACATGCACAGGCAACATATGCAGAGATACATTCCATCTTGCCTTTCTTCAAAATTACCGCATTCAAGGTGTCATCTCTCCAAACCATTTTGGAAGGAAAGAAATGCCATTTTGCAAGAAAGGATGACAACGGATAGGCAAAGATGAAATAAAAACAAAAGATGAATAAAATAATAAAAATCAATTTGAAGTTGTAGGGAAAAGAGAATTATCGAGCTTTGCAGCATGACATGTTACCTCTCCTGATTTATATAAACCTGCAAGATATAAATTCTACATGTTAAAAAGATCATAATAAACTTTCAGGAATTCAAACACATCTTTGACAATACTATGATTTAATTAAATTCTCTTAAGAATAATTCTGTTTCCAAGATGTCCCAACTAGATACAGTTCTTTAAAGTGTGCAGTAAGTTTGGGAAAATAACTTACTGTACACTCCATGCACATGTTGGACTGTTTGTCTCTTTACATGTATCTGCTGCACCAAGAAATATTTATTTAGAGGTATGATAATAGCAAACCAATCCTGGAAAATATATGACATTACAATATGAAAAACCCACCTTAATTATTTCTTTACAAACTCATTCAAAGGGAAACTATCATATGGATAATAATCAGATTTAAAGCTATGAAGAATGTCCAACTTACTGAGTCTTGGGAGTTGTTCTGTAGCAGCTGCTTCTGGAGATCCTAGACCTAGATCAGCAACAACATCTGGAACCTTCCTCTTGGACCTGGCCCCCTCTTCTCCAAACTGGCCCAGAGGCAAGTCCAGACTGCTCGGGGAGAGTGGTCTTTCTTCTCTATCGCTGTCACCTTCCGTCGAAGACAAACCCAGTTTTCCTGCACTCGAACGCTTCTTTAGCTTGAGAGATCGACTCTTTCGTTGCTTTGGTATGGCGCCATCTGGTGGTTTACTACTGTCTACTTTGGTGCTTGCTGATCGCTGCCTAAAATTCTTGTCTTTGATGGACTCCTCTCCCTGTTGCATCCCAGCGCTCGTCCTCCTTCCAGTTTTGTTGGCCTTTGTTGCATCTCTGCGATGAGGGCGCATGCGACTAAGACGTGACTTTTTCTCCTTGGAGCTGGACTCTGAGCGTGGGATACCACCATCAAAGGTACAAGGTGGGACGTCGCTCGTTGGAGAAAGATCACTTTCAGGTATGTTGTGATCAGAAGCCAAAGGCACTTGGAGATTGGACGGGGTGCCTTCCTTCTTTTTACCGGAACCCTTCTTTCGCTTGCTGCTGCCACGCTCTGAATCAGAAGGAGTACAAGATCGACATATATCAGGGGAGAGTCCTGAATGCATACCCTGATACCCCGCCCCCCTAAGGCTCACCTGCCTAGCCTCCTTTTCATCTTCCACCTCATAATGTTTCTTCCTCTCTCCCTTCTCTCTCACAACAACCTCACTCTCACTTTTCCTCTTGTCCTTGGACCTCTTCAGCAACCGCTTCTTTGGACTCGCTTTCTTGCCACGCTGCTTCTCAAGCTTGCCCTTCGTGGTCGGGGTGTACACCTTGGCGTGTTTGTTAGACAACGTGTCTCTGCAGATACTCTCTGATTGAATTGCACTTGGAGGGGAAACATAATCTTCTTCTGGGGAATCTATCGTGATTGTAACTTCGTCCGTATTTGCACTTACTGTGGCATTGTTCATATTCTTATTAGCACCGTCATCTATTGCAGCTTCCTTACTTTGGGGACTACTACCGCTGTAATCAAGCGAGGGTTTCGGACTAAACGATGGTGACAGTAACGACCGAACACCACTAGCTCTAGGATACATACATTTATACTGGGGTTTAGGCTTAGGTGTCTCTTTTGCTTCACTTAGTTTTTCTGGTAACGATGGACTTGCCGTCATCTCAGGTTTGATATCCACACTAGATCCTCCATCTATATCATCCTCGAATCCTACACTAAACCTTTGATTCTTTCTATTGGGTAAACTATTATATGAAGTCCTGTATGCATCACTAGATGGCACAACATTAAGATCAACTTCCGGAGAAGCAACAGCTTCAGGTTTATCACAAATATTGGAATCTTCCTCCTCCTCTGTGGCCTCTACATCAGATATTTCAGTGTCAGTGTTTGCCGCGAAAGCAGTTTCCGGTAACAGGTCTAGGTTGATATCGTCTAGATGAGTAGGAAGAGGACTGGATTGAGAGTGGTCTTCTGGTGTCCCTGAGTCAGAACCCTTTGTCCTTGCTTCCTGAAGCAGTCCTGCTGCTTCCGTTGCGCGCATGTCTCCATCGGAGCCACTTTCATCAGAATCTTGCCTGTCACTTGCAGAGTCTCTGCTTGTGATCCCTTGTGTGGAATGCTTGGAGAGAATGTCTTCATCAGTACTGAGTTGTGATGTGGAAACTGTTCCATAAGTCTTTGGTTCTGAGGGCCCAGAAGCTGCACTAGAGTCCTGGACCTGATCACTCGTGTAAGATAGTACTGCACTAGTGTCTGATGGTTCTACACTACGATCATCAGTCTCTGTATCATATGGTACTGGACTAGGTTCATACAGCGCTGAGCTATCATCGTTCGTTTCCGCATCACCAAAGTCAATATCAACCACGTTGGGCTTGAGTGGTGACAGATCAGGTTTGACATCCAATAGAGCAGGATGGCTGGCGGACGACGATGAGAAGCGCTTGCTCACCTCAGAACTACTAATGAGTTCATCAATGTCAATCTCTTCTGCTTCAGAACTGGAACATTCCACATTGACTACCTCACCCTGGATGACCCCATGCATTTGAGAGATAACAACCTTATCCGTTACAGGGATATCATCAACCAGAAGACTCTCACTTTGTTCAGTATCTTGCGCGCTGTTTTGTGGGTCAAAACTGTGGCTTGCAGACTCTTCCATGTAATCAGTTGTACTGATCAAATCTCCAACAACCATATCTTCTTCTTCCTCAGATTCTTCCACTTCAATTTCTTCCTCTTCTGTCTGTTCTTCGGTTGTTTCTCCGTAGTCGTCGTCTTCCTGTTCAGCAAGATCCGCTTTCAGGTCCCTGTTATCAGTGTCAAGGCTTACCACTGCTCCACTTAATTCTTCTGTTCTTGAAAAACTTTCTGAAAAATCATCTTCTTCTGCTAAATGACCTCCCACCACAATTTGTTCTACGTCATCTGATATCGCTTCTGAATCATCACCTTCTTCTTCTTCTCTTTCTTCTTCCTCCTCATCCTCATCTTCCTCTTCCTCCTCTTCTACATCTTCTTCTTCCTCTTCTACATCTTCTTCTTCCTCCTCCTCCTCCTCCTCTTCTTCTTCTATTTCTCCCATGCTTCCTATCTCCTCTACATCTTCCTCTCCTGAGTACAATTGTTCTTTGCTATCTTCTTCTTCTTCCTGATCATCATTTATAGACTCAGTCTTTGCATTGCTATGAGCATCTGAGTCAAGCTTGGCCATCCCTAGACTCTGATCATCACCCTCCTCATCAGCTGCTGCATCTCCCCCTCCCATCTCTACTTTCTGCCTTCTACCAATCTCAGTATCATCTTCATACGATGCAAACTTCGTAGCGAATTTATCTCGCCATTTTTTCCTCCTATCGCTCCACTCTTCCCCTCCATCTGTGGGAGATCTGAGAGCATTGATGACATCCTCTTCAGTGATGTCTTTTGCTGCATCCTCATCTTCTTCCGCTTCATCCCCATCTTGATTCTCGTCTGGCTCTAGTTGCCTTCTCTTCTCTTCCTCTAGCCGCTTTCTCTCCTCCTCCTCCTCCTTCTCTTTCCTCTCCTCTTCTTCTTTCAGTAACCTCTCTTCCTCCTCCACCCTTCTCCTCTCCTCCTCTTCTTCTCTCCTCTTTCTCTCCGCCTCTTCCTTCTCCCTCTTGATGACTTCCGGTGGTTTCCACGGTGCCATCTGTGGAGCCTTGGTGTCATTAAGCCATTGCAGCTTCAGACTGGTCAGTGTATGGACGTGACTGTACGACGGTTCTTTAGGTTTCTCCTCCTCTTCCTCCTCATCGTCCTCCTCTTCATCCTCATCCTCATATTCGTCGCTGTCGGTGTAGTACTCCCCGGAGCTCTCTTCCTCCTCGTCATCTTCTTCTTCATACTCCATCTCTGAATTTTCTTCTTCTTCCTCCTCTTCATCTTCTACTTCTTCTTCTTCCCCTTCCTCATATTCCTCCCCGGATTCTTCTTCCTCCTCCTCCTCTTCGTACTCCTCTTCATACTCCTCCTCCTCCTCTTCATCTTCTTCTCCCTCTTCCACGTCTGCCATTCCTTTAAGATACAGAGTGAAACGGACATTCACTCACTTGTTTTCAAACATATGAAATACAAGCATCAATAAAAACAATAAACTTTCTCCTACACTGCTGTTGGTAAAGATGGTACGAACCCCAGTCTAGTAATAGCCCGGAAGGTGAATTAATTTACAAATCACTTGAAGCATGTTCAACCCTTAACCAAAGCGTTAGCCCATAACTCCATTCGACCACAACAATGAACCACCAACATCACACAACATAGACTTGGTAATCCAGGCACTACAGCTCTACGATTTTTCTAAGTAGCAATACACGCATGCAGGAACATCAACACAATATCTATGAAAACACATACATTCTGAAAAGAAGGCTGGCAAGTGGAGGCTAGGTTAAGACTGTGAGTACGAGAACATAAAATGGTAAATATGAAAGATGTGAGACAGGTAGAGAGGAGACATTACACCTACATGTACAAGCTGAAAAAGAACAAAAACATGTGTATCAATTAAGAACAGTGCACTCCTTATCTATAGACTATCATTGAGATTTCTAAAAGATATACATTTTGAGGTACAAAGTTCACAATACATCTACAGTATTAACACTTATTAATAATAATTATTTAGATAACTGTATTTAAAACAAATGACACTACATTTACGATGCAATTCAGAGTCATCACACGTACTTTACAACCAAGAATGTACAATATGTAACAGAAATGTTGAGATAATAAAAAAGAGTTTTTTCTTAGGTCAATAAGGAAAGAATCATTACAAATTTACAAATGCTCTCTCAAACTGTGAGGTTTATAGGTCTACTACACATGTTACAATCACAAATGCGATACTTTTATGAAGATACTGCAGAAACTACATTTTGTGGAACTATACTGTGTGTAAAGTGAGTAACAATAACTCAGAGTGTCTCGTTTCCCCATATTTTGAGCTATCTATTATGGAATGGTGAGCTTTGTTTTCAAGTTTAATGGTTGCATAAGGAGTGATATTGGAGTAAGTGCGTGTTAATGTAAACTGTTTTTGTCCCTTACAATATTTTACAAGTAGTAAATTCAGTCTGATTAATTCTTTTTTCAAATTTAAGTGTACCAAAAACATTTTACAGAACTAAAGCAATCTGTAAAATGTAATGAATAAGTTAAATGTTTTGAATGAAATGGTTATCAAAATAATAAACAGATGAAAATTTAATGATAACAGATGTATTTTTTATCAAATTTTGTTACATGCAATTTTAATGATCTGAGCTGATGAATGCATAATTCTTTTACTAAAAGAAACTGAAAATAAACATCCTTATTTTCTTTAAGCAATGTTAGAAAATAATGGTCTGATTTTGGATCCAAGCTTTAAGGTTTTATACTGCAATGAACGATCTTGCTTTTTTTAAATATTTTATAATGAAATATGAATGATTATAAAATAAAATGCTTGATATTGTCTGATATATTCCCATTGGATTAAAACATTTTCCCCCTAAATAAATCAAAATCAGATAGGCATTTTGATAAACTGATGGATATTGAATCTTTGTTAGGCTTCCCTTGAAACCAAAGTAAAGTAAACCACCACACCTCTAGAGAGATAGATTGCATATGGGGAAGTCCCTGCCATAGGGGAATCCCAAGACAAGGGAAACTCCCTATTCTACAATACCAACTAAGAGAATGGTTGAAAGAGTCTCTGTGATTCTACATGACTTGGTAATCCTACCAGATCTGGGGAAATTAGAAGGGGGGGGCATGGCAGGGGGTTTGATAATAATAATTAAATCGGTGCTTATAAAGCGCTTACCACCAAGGTATGATGAAAGGGGGTAGGGGCACATTGATTTTAGGGCGCCAAAAGAAAGAAAAGGTAATAAGGTCAGACAGTTATATTGAGTTGCAAATTGGTGTATATTCTATCAATTGCATCAAAAGAAAACTATCAAATTTCTGAAGATAAAAACTTCACATTTTCTTTTTTCTTGTCTCCACTTCATGAAAAGATCATTTATTTTGTAATAGGTTATTTGGATAATATGTGAAGTAGTTGATCAAACTAAAAAAACAATGCTCTTTTTACAGCAAAAACATTTCCAAATGTCAGAAAAGTTGAATGGGGCTCAGTGATCTATGAGAAAAGTTATCCTCATAAACTGATCAAAAGTAAACTTTGGGAAATACGTGTATACTATAGAACTCATCTGAAAAACAGTTTTTGTCTGTGAATGATTTGGTTTAGAATACACAGGATAAGGGTCTGCAAGAGTTTGTTAAGAAAAAAGGAAAACCAAGAGAGAGAGAAATATATGCCGAAATGGGAGCTCATTCAAATCTACTTCAAGTGAATTAATCAGAGTCAAGAAAGACAAAGTGTGAAAAAAAAGGAGAGGGAGGGAGCACGTGGGACTGGCTGGCAGAAAAAAGAAAGGATTTTGTTGATAGAGGGATTGTATTTTTAGGTAAAGATAAAGAACACGAAGAGGAAGAGATCTACAGCAGATGAAAAGGGTGTCTGGGGCAAGAGAGCTTGAGGTCAGGGTCAGGGTTCAGGGTTTAGGGGTCAGGGGGTGAGATACAAAGATTCTTAGCTTAGTGAGGACAAAAAAAGGACATTATTTCTACCATGTGACCTTAGAAAAGAGTGTAATAGAGCACCGAAGTGTGCCGTCATATTAGCCAAGTTGTAAAGGTTGCTGGTTCCAAACAATTTTGTGCAAGACAATGTTGCGGTGATCACACCAGCGCTAAACGTTGATTTTGCCCTCCTCATGCGCAGGCTCTGTTGTTTGGAACCAGTATTACCTGAATGACGAGCGAATATGATGTTAGCACTTCGGTACTCTACATTTAGTGCTGCTGACTCTGTATTGCATGATGGGAAGGCGAAGAGCACACAATGAAAGTTTAATGTACAATGACAAATAAGGTATGAAGTAAAAAGATAACTTCCAACTAAAATTAATTCCACAAATCATAAGGTAAAAAATAATATAGTCTAGATAGGAGGCACTGTCACAAAATAGATACACTTGCTTTAGAATGGAAAATAAAAATGCATATGGATAAATGAAAAATAAAACAATATTAAAACTAGGAAAATAAAATGGTTTGAAAAGATATTTAAAATAATAGAAGGATCAATGTTAGCATACAGTATATATGAAGATTAACAGGTTTGCTTTGTAGAGTAGAGCTTGTTAGACAGAGTACAGCCAGAATATAGTATTTGTTAATTTAATATTAACCATTATGGGTGAGAATATGATCTGCCTTGAGAAAGAAAATCAAAAGATTAAAATGAATCTTGGAAGTAAATGTATGGGGATTGGGCTTCCCTTACAACCTCTAACATTCCAGTGTGTACATACAGCCTATTAAAACAATAAAAGCAATTTTCAAATATTGTTTTAATTCAAATTGTTTATTTATTAAAATTGTTTAGATGACCAGTTGCCATGTACCAAATGTGGTCACTTTGTCATACCATTTACAAGCACATTGCATAACAAAAGTAAATCATTTAATAATAATGATATTCGGTTCTTGTATAGCGCATATTACATTATGTAACGTCTCGATGCGCTTCCAAAGAGCATTGGAAATTTGAAAGGTTCATTTGATCCATGTTTTTTCACAAGATTTCCACCCCACCCATGTTAAACAAATATTATATTCTGGCTTCAAACACACAGGAAATAAAAAGAAAGATTTGTATGTGATTAAGCCTATTTAAAGGAATTTGTATCCTGAATTCCAATCACAATAAAATTACATCTTAAAATTTGATTTGATGTTATAGCCTCATAAGAAAACGACATGCAATACATGTATCTTTCTTTATTCACTCAACGAACCTAAACAGATCTAATGAATCTTTGGTGAAACACATATTCTCAAAAGTAAAAATAATTGACAGCTGATCTCTTTTGAATATTTCCTTTTCCTTGAACAAGCACTTATTTCTCAAATTCTTTGCTACAACAAAAAACAATGCCGTCCTTCAAAATCCCTTGTTTATTGACAAACCAGTTAGCTTCAAGGAGAGATGAATTAAACAAATGATTTGAAACTAAGAGAGAATACAGTTTGATAGAGAATGTCCATATTTAATAGCTTGATCACCAGTAGGCCATCACCTGCATATAGTATCTCACTCTACAGTCCTTCACCAATAGATAGTACTTAATAAGAATTAAGAAATAGTATCATATGAGAAAGATGCAAGCTCAAAATGCAGTAGGAGAGACCCAAATCACAAATGTATCTTAAAAATGATTAATAAATTCAATTCAATTCAATTAAGATTTTTTTTTCTTTCTTTGGTGAATGTGTAATTTCTACACTTAAATCATATTCATGAACAATTTATTCCTTCTTTTTGTAATCATAAGGTGTTTTTTGGTATCATTCTAAATCAGGCCTATATTGTCAAAGTAGTGTTTCCCCATGGGCTTGTATGCACTTAAAAGGTGAATAAGCTAAAGAAAAATAGGAAATTAATAACTGACCAATACATCCCTAAACAGAAATGGAAGAGTCTGATAATCAATTGACTCCAGTATTGTTCAGAAGATACCATTTATGGTTTGGGTAATTCCTTTTATTACAAAGATGTATATATGGAAAGGGATACTGCATGCTACACACATAGAAAATGCAAGTATAAGTACACATACAAAAGCTCATGCAACGTTCACCAATAGCATGCTGATATATGTACAAGCAAAGCAAGAGATAACAAAATATACCGAAATTCCCTAAACGTGCAACATTCTAAACATACATGTATCACATTTAATTCTATACCTTCAAGCTAAAACTGTTATCATTTCTACATATATTTTTCACTAGGATTTGTATTCTATACCGTTTGACTTTAACAAATATATACTATATTGTTTTATTATGATATCATGAGTACAATGTATATACAAGAATATATGAAATAAATTTAATTTGAGCATGTACTAATGATAAGAAAAATTGAGGAGTTGAAACTCCTTATTTTTAATTGATTTCAATATTTTACGAATCATTTTCACATATCCTTTTTTGAATGACTAAAACAAAATAATACCATGATAATCAGATCATTTATTTATGAATATTGAAATATCTTCCACAGAATGTGTTCTTCTTTCTGATTTTTGTCCCTCTTTGGCCTATCAATATCTTTCCAATCAGTTTAGACTATGTCAAAAATACAAAACTCTGTTTTTCAATAGCACCATAAGTATCTACATGCAGTAAATGTAGAAAACATATAGGAAAAGTTGGGGTTGAAAGCAATATACATGGTTGCAGGAAAATTACAAAGACACCACTTCATAGAGAAAACACACAACTCATGCTATCAGCTATATATTCTTTTGTTTGTTTTCTATTTCATTTTTCATCTTGTCTTTAGCCTGTTAATTGAAATATGTGGATCACTGCTAAACAAACACAAACAAGAAGTAATAATAATAAAACAAATTAATAATATAATTTTTTTTAGAGTACACAGCTGATAGCAAAAGCAAACAATGAATAAGCATAATAATATAAATTATAATGAATTCAGTTTCCCATAGATATACAACAGCATAAGATTGCCATGATGTATAATATGTATTAATTGGTTCATATGCTGTTAGGAGCAGTTGAGTTTATGGTTATAAAACTACTCAGATTCTGTTATCAGGTAAGGGTAGGGAAGTTATGGATTCTGGTTAGAGACCCAGTCCTGTCTACCTGATATAGCAACAACCAGAAATGAAATTTAATGCAGACTCTTCTATTCCTCTTTCAATATTTGTATTTCATTCCATAAAGTAACATGATGAAAGTGGTTGTAAAATCAACCCAAGAATGATCATAAATAAATTATCAACATTTTGAACTCTGAATTATAACTCTTTTCTTTTCTTTTTTTTGCATCATAAAATCATTTACATGAAAGCATGAGGAAGACTCAACCAAAAAAGAGACATTTCAAACAGATGAATTTTACTTCTTTGTACTTTTTTGTTTTCTGAATGCATTTTGCAAAGAAACTAGAGGAAGCACCACATTTACTGTATCTACTGCCATTTGAGAGCAATATATTTCTAGGTCTTTGTTTTTTATGGTTATCTTTATATCCCAAACATTCTGGACGGATAATTTGAAATCACCCAAAAGAATGTGTGGTACCTAACACTGGTACACATAACATGACGCTTATAATCAGGCAGATAGGACTTGGTGATAGAGTGTGTCTTAACACACTCCTGGAACCCATTTCACAAAGCCTTTTTTCAATGACAAATGACAAAAACCAGTGACAAATCTGCTGATAACCAATCAGAAGCAAGGATTTCAGTAGCTTATAACAAAGATTGTCATTTGTCACTGATGGCATGTTTTGTGAAACGGGTCCCTGGAATATATCAGGATGATTCTGAATTAGTTCTTGGTTTCATAGAGCTGCCTCTAAGCATTAGGAGGTGGGAATAGGTAGGGGCACTACTCATTAAAAACTCTAATAGCTATGCTTGTGATGAAGGTGGATCAAAGTTTGTTCCCCAGTGGATATAGATAATGAATGGAATGGTCCTGGACCCAAATATGGACCTACGATGTGATTACTTTGTCTATATATAACTACTGTATATGAAAAGGACTAAAACAACCCAATCGATCATTCCCTGAGGTATTAAATCCTGAGAAAATAGGTCATAACAACATCATATCTAATGTAACTCTATATATCCCTCTTGCATTATTAGACCACTCTACAATTGAGTTTTCAAATCTTTGCTGTTTAATTGCTTATTCTATCAGAGCTTTCTACAGTTTAATTGTAGTAGTGAAATGAACTTCATTATTCCTCAGTGATAAATGTTTTATCCTTGACTTTCAGAGACTGAGAGAAACAAAAACCCAATATGATATGAGAGGAGTGTGTAGAATTTGGGGAGAAATATCAGTTTTTGATGACTTACTTGACGATAATCCTTCTCTAGCTAGCCAGGCCTTTTCTTCCTCGTCTAACTCGCTATCGGATGACCTGTAATACAAAAACAAAATTCATGTATCTCCCTTTTCATCCTATTCAGTTCTTTCTCCTTTCAATTCCTCATTCTCTCCTGGTTTACTTTTTACATTTTATAATCTTCTTTTCTTCTTTGCATTTTGTTATTTTTTCTTCATTCTTCTTTCTCCCCCCCCCCCTGCATTTTTATTAATTTATTTTGTAGCTTCTTCTTCTCCTCTTTCCTTCTCATCTTCTTCCTCCTTCCTCCTACTCCTACTCTTCCTCTTCCTCTTTGACTTTGTCCCCCTCCTCCTCTCCCTCTCCTCCTTCCCTGCATTCATCTCTATTCTACATCCTATCTGAGGGACTACTTACTCATCCAGCTCATCATCTGTATTCACCGATGTACCCAGATTATATCTAGCTTGTTCTTCCTCCTCCTCCTCCTCCTCCCTTGCATTCATCTCTATTCTACATCATATCCGAGGGACTACTTACTCATCCAGCTCATCTTCTGTATTCACCGATGTACCCAGATTATATCTAGCTTGTTCTTCCTCTTCCTCCTCCTCCTCCTCTTTCTCTCCTCCTTCTCTCCCTCTCCTCCCCTGCATTTATCTCTATTCTACATCCTATCCAAGGGACTACTTACTCATCCAGCTCATCATCTGTGTTCACTGATGTACCCAGATTATATCTAGCTTGTTCTTCTTCCGTCAAGGCACCTTTAGACTCAGCCATCTGCTCATACATCTTTTGCATTTCTGTAAGATCAAGTCCATTTTCGAAAAATCATTCCAAGCTTTAAAAGATGAACACGAACCTACAACAGTGCTTTATTATTTATAAGAAAAGAAGTATGTATAGCAGCAGCTGTCATAGATAGGATAACATGTTTAGTACATGGCTAATCTGCCTCAAGGTCAAGGTTTTATGACGAAGCACCAAGCCATCTATTGTGATATTGATAAAAAAGGACCATGATCCGTTACATTAATCTATGGTAATGAATAATAATAATAATAATCCACTTTTATATAGCGTTCTAAGCACTTTACAGATATACTATTACCCCTGTCATTTGATTCAATACTTACCTGCACACATTGTGTGCACGATCTCCACTCCCTGGGGAGCATTCCAGCAAGTTTGCAAGTATATATTTCTATTTGCACAAGCCTAGTTTACTCATGTATCGGACCCAAGATGTCCACTATTTATAAGTCAACATTCAAACAAATCCGAAGCACCAATACACAAGTAATTTGCAAATCAAGCCCTAGGCCCCATCTTATAAAGAGTTGCAATTGATCCAAAACAACCACAGGTCCTCCAGTCAATCGCAAGTTTGCAGTCTCCTATCTCTTATGTACATAGTTGCGATTTATATCAATATCAAATAAATTGCGAATGATACCAACGCTTTATAAGACGGGGCCCTGGCCTGCTATCTTTAACAAAATAATTAAGCTCGGAGCCAAATATAGCCAGATTAAGTGTTGGTTCACCATTTTCCAAAACCTTCTTACCGTCTCTCTCTGGTGTGGTCTTGGATCTCTTGCCAAAGAACGGTGAAAGCAAATTGCGTTTCCTGAATGGTCCCTTGGGCGTTTTAGGTGTCTTTGGTGTGGTGGGGTTTGGACGTGAGATGTTCTCATTCTCGTCTTCGACCTCCTCGATAGAATCAAAAGAGAACACAGGCTTCTGAAAAAGAGAATTGAAAGAAGAGATGGTATGTTATTACCTCATCCCTAATGGGTTATGTAAATGAGTATTTAAACCATGGGTTAAATGTAAACCTCGTTTGCGAATTCGGGCCTATATGTCCAGAAAGAAATGCGACTGAGCTTGAAGTCTGTGCTCCACAGTGACTGCAAGCAAACCACTCTAAATGAAGAACTTAACCATGAAGGATACACTTTACCCAAAAGAAGAACACAGTCAAATATAATGTTGTTACCCTTTAGAAACATTATACATAGAACTCAGATATTTGTGGCTACCTCATCCCCAAAAGTAATACGTCACTTTTACAGTAATTTTATCTTTTTGCTGTCTGTTTAGTATTTTTTAAGTTTTGAGGACCGAATCTCTGTCCTACTCTTTACACATCTAAATCTTCCAATATGATATTGATATTACTTATATATCAAAATGTGGGAAACAGGGAAAACAACACATTTGTATTCTGATTGGCATTGAACTAATGAATAATGTGAAAATTGAAACTCATCGAAACCTTTCTATAAAGACCACCAAAGGGAGACAAGAAAAGTGGTCTTTATGGGCAGGTGGTCTTTATGTACAGGTTCCTTTAGTACATGTTTCAATGAGAAACCATTTTCAAGGGAAACAAAAAATGTGGTCTTTGTAGACAGGTGGTCTTTGTAGACAGGTGGTCACTAAAGCAGGTTTGAATGTAATTAGTTCCAGGCCTAGATATTACCATACCTTTGACTGGACTGCTTCCTTCTCTTTATCACTCAGACTTCTCTTTCTGACGGCTTGCTTCCGGGCTGCAAAGTGTTCTCGACATAGGAAACGACCTGAGGGATAAAAAAAATAATCTATTTTTGTTCCTCCTATTTTGACAAACACATATGGTGAATGTTTATTTGCTCATGCTGCCTAAGTTTTATGGACTAGCCTCCCAGACTCACTTAGAAACATTGACACAATAGATAAGTTTAAATCCACCCTGAAAGCACATTTATTTCAATTGTTAAAAGGAGCTCAGTACCCTATTTTTCTCTTTGCTTTTCTTTCTAAGCAGATGGGGACATTTCTAAGCACATAGGAACATACTTTGTATTGTGTTATGCGCTATATAAAAATGGATTATTATTATTACTACAAACCTTTTTCACCGTCGGGGTCTGGTAGATACGCATAGTTTCCAATCCTGATTGTGACATCACAATCCTGGCATTTGAAGCAGTCTCTATGGAAGAACATGCCCTCAGCACTAAGTCTCTCCATCACATACACACGCTTACTACAGAACACACACAGCTGACTGGCTTGGACATTGCCAGTCTCAATCAGTGGTCTCATTTTCTGAGGGTCAAGAAAAGAGAAGATGTAAGGTAAGCAATTATATCCAAATCATGTGAAAATTAATCATGGTCTGGGTTTCTGGGGTTTAAGAGGAGAGAGACGTTATATGTTCATAAACAATGATAGCGGCTGGTAGTAGACTTCACTGTCAGACACTATTGAATGACTGACTGACATCTTTTTTCCATCTAAAAGCCATTTTCATGCCCTTTCGTTATGAGGGAAGTTCTAAATTAGAATTATCTTTGAAACGCCGGTGGAATTCAACCTTTTCATTTTTTTGGTCTGCAAATGGGACATACAGTAGTACCTTTAGGATTGAAACCTTAGGGTTATCCCTTCAAATATGAAATCGTTTATCAAATCAGAGTGACTTACTGGTCTTGGTCCATCCGTTACTGTATTCATGCCGTAGTTAGACCGGAGATTGGCCTGGAGCTGTTCGGCCAGTCCGCTGACCTTATTCTGACCTCTGACCCCGACATTGAGCTCGTTCTTATCGGCTACGTTCAGACTGTTGTTCTCAGACTGATTGGCTTTCCGCGCTTCCTGTGCCATGAGCTTGCGCTTCTCTGCAATGTCATCAGCCTGTGGAAGGTATTACAAGTTCAGATCATAAATGGTGAAGATCAGAAGGGCTTTAAACTCTGTACCAAAGAATATGAACTCAAGTCTTTTTGATTATCAGCAGATATATTTCTGTGCCATGAGCTTCTCTACAATCTCATCAGACTGTGGGAGATAACAAGTTCAGATCATAAATAGTGAAGATCAGAAGGGCTTTAAACGGCTCAGTAACATTGCCTCAGATTCTGAAACAAAATCCTGGAATTAGCTCATGCTGCAATCATAATTATAAACCTTTAGGTTAGTCAGAAATCCCATGACTTTTACAAACCGATCGCTATTTGAAATTTAATTTACCAGGAGCACCTGTACATTTTTATATTTAATTTGTCTCGAAAGCAGAAGTGTTTTAGGGGCTAAATTTTCTAGTGCTTATAATACATCCACAGGGGCATCCAAATATATGAAAATTGTAAAGAATCACTATCCACGCAATTTTCAAATTTCCCAAAACTATGTTTTACATTTAAATTAATTTTTTTCAAAGATAAAATGATTATATTTGTAACATAGTTAAGATTTGGAAAGGTTTCATGCCAAAACATAACTGAAGCTCAACTGACACAATACTCGAATTCTGAGATTTACACAGTTTCCTGCAATGTAAAATGCTGCTTTTTACAATTCACAGACAAAAATATTTGGTTTACAGTAAATCAAGTTATCAGCGAATAAAACTGGAAGGATTATGAGATAGAAAGCACTTACTGCTGAATCTTTATGCTTGTGATGTTTTCGTTTAGAGCCTAAGCCGCTACCACTGGCCTTGGCTTTCTCTCCGTTCTCTTTATCATGCTTCTCGTGTGATTTCCTCCGTACCTTGGAGGCGATGCGGGATAGGAATGATGTTTTACTGGAAGACTTGGTGGGGGCGGGAAGGGCTTGTGCGATATTGTTTTCTTTGGTGTTATTCTCTTCTGTATACAAAGAAAAATAATAATAATAATAAAAATATTATGCTTTTATATAGGGCTGAATACATTGACGATGTCCCTAAGCGCTTTACAGATATATTATTACCCCCGTCAGCGGATTCAGGCTTGTCCGCACACAGTGTATGCACATTCTCCACTCCCTGGGGAGCATACTAGCCAGACATAAGGCATAAGGCATATGAGGGGTAGATTACTAAAATTGAAAACAACTGCAATTTCAATTTCAATATCTATCAGGAATGGAGAGAGGGGGGGGGGGGGGGGGGGGGAGAAGTTAGATCTAGTTAACTTAATTCAACTGTTAAAACTTAATCCTAGGAAATTGAGGAGACTAGTGGGACGTTGCAAGAAAGTTGAGTTGCAATCGATTGTAAATATCAGTTGCAAATTTTGCAACTTGCAATCAATCGCAACTTTCTTGCAACACCCCATTAGACGGCCAAGTGAGCTTACGTTTAACTGAAGCTGGCAGCTCATCTTTGAAGAGATCATAGAACCTGACGACATACGCTACGATGGTGAGTTTATCTGGGCACGCGATAGCAGCCATCTCCTTGCCTGTCATTGCGGGTGTGATTCCAAACTCACGCTCGGCGATGTCAAAGGCTAGCTGGTTGTTCTGGACCACGTTCTCTGGTCTCAAGGAATCGTAATCACTGTACAAGAGAAGAGGATATATAATAAAAGATGAGGACTGAGTAATGGGCCCGTTGCACAAAACCTTACCATTGATGTAACTTTGCCATCACTGGTAACTTCCATTGAAACCTTGATTTTGATTGGCTGTTGAGCTCTGTTACCATGGTAGTTGCCATTGATGGCACAGTTACCATCAACAATAATTTTTATTACATTGTGAATGAAGCTGTCAGGAAGTGATTGAAAGAGATTAACTGGTTGTTCCGCACCACGTTCTCTGGTCTCAAGGAATCATAGTCACTGTACAAGAGAAGAGGAGATGTGATATAAGATTGAGAGTTTAGTTTAGTGCTGGTTATTTTACATGACTGCTAAGAAAGCATAAATGCTTGGTAGTAAGCAACCAGGGGGGTGTTTCACAAAGACCATAAGTTGAACTTATCTCTAAGTTGGACTTTAAAATTATGGAAAGCCATTAGCATCCTTGAAAATATTTTGTAAAAGTTATTTTAAAAGGCATAAAATGTTGATTCAAATCATTCATATTTTCTATTATCAAGGAGATTTCATGTTCTTGATGTGGAATTTATAAAAAGTCTAAAATACTTGAATTCTAACTTTTGAATATATTTATTTTAAGGCTACAAATAGCTCTCCATAATATTTAAGTCCAACTTAGAGTTAAGTTTGACTCGGGATCTTTGTGAAACACCCCCCAGGTCCTCTCTGAGGGACCTCGTTATGAGGATTAATGCCTTACCAAAGGGCACTAGCGCATAGACTTGGTTTCGAACCCGGGTAGCGGGATTACGAGACCACTGCTCTACCAACTGAGCTATCGCACCTCCTCTAGGACGGAGTACTGATCATGTGATTACATTGTGAACGAAACTGTCAGGAAGTGATTGGAAGAGGTTGAAGAGTTGATAGATATTTTGAGGCTTTGAAATAAAGAAATTGATTCACTTCAAAATTTAGGTTTTCTTCATACCACAGAAAACCAAAATTATGTATTCTTTTATCAATATCTGTCTTCAAACACTTTTTTTTTTTTTGGGGGGGGGGGAGATCTTTGCAGAAGTGTGTATTAAATGCAGACCTGCAAACCTCTGGAGTTCAAAAACTGTATTCTTTAATCCCAAAAGTTGTATTTTACTGACAAAAGTTGTATTCTTGAAAAAAAACACGGATTGTTACGCGGATCAATGCCTCTTACAGTTCCTACCTACAGGAGGAATTTTTTTTATGGATCATTGGTTGAATATGCACGATTTTGTCATGACTGGTGTGTTCGATGAACCAATGAACATACCCAAATTGCTGATGTGAGATGCTTGAAGGATACTTAACAAAACATAATGGGAATTTTGCCATTGAAAATGTCACAAACACAAAATATAAATTTATAAAAAAAAAATTATAAAAAAAAAAGAAGATTTTTTTGAAAATCATATTTTATTAAGGAAAATCGTACTGTCGTATTTGCTTCTAAAAATCGTACTAAAATACAACTAAATCGTACTGGTTGGCAGATCTGTAAATGACATCCTCTTTCACATTATTAATGATACAATTTAAGTGAAATTTTGCCATAAAATCATTGGCGAATTTGGGACTACCAACGCTTTAGAGGGGCATATGATAATTGAATAATACAGCCACAGGTTTAGAAGCATCGTTTTAGAAGGTTATAATTATTATTATTATTAAGTATTTGGCGTCACCTGTGCCTGGGAGGCGAAAAGCAAACTAAATCACTCTAACCCTTGGGTCTCTCCTCCCGGTATAACTGATTGGGGGTGTGCAGGTGGACCACCACACAGGGGTTTCCCCCTACTCTTATACAAATAGTGCCGTGGGTTCTTAACTTGCAAAGGTGGTGACTCTCCTCTACACAGGGCTTCCTTTTTAACATCATATCCAAGGGACGGTTCTCAAAGGCCTACTTACATGAGATCTGGTCTGTATCTGTGGATGATGGCACAGAAAGCGAGACCGTTCCTCCAGCTACTAGTCATGTTCTCCACCATCACGTTGAGGTAGTTATCGGTCACTCGTTGACACCACATCTGCACCTTGCTACTCCTCACCACGGACGCTGTATAAACAACAAACAAAAAACAGAGTTAATCATTGCAATTTTTGTGTCATACCAGAAGTGAGAAACTATGTCTCCTATCAATTGTAACAATGTTTGTTCAAATTGAGTTTTGCATAAAAAGCATAGCCAACTATCTTCAGAAGTACTCAAGCTCCATGGTTAATCAATATTATGGACCCAAAGTTTATGTAATGTTATATGAATATGGTGCAAAGGTAATGCTGGTAAAAAGAGAAATGTGAAAAGGTAATACAAAGTTTTGGTATGGGGTCATGAATTTGGTTCATATGAAAGTATTGGAAGCATATGCGATCCTACAATATTTAGTGATCGTTGTCGCGGTTGAAATAGAGTCTCAAGTTATGAAATTGTAAATAATACACTCTTTATGTTGTATAGCTCCCTCTCAAGGTCAAGATATTAATTAAGCTATGAAACGATGTTTCTTGACTAAAATCGACCAACTAGCTATTCCCGTTTAGAAGTTAAATATCACAACTACATATTCTGAGATTTTCATGGTCGCAGCTACCATTGTACAGCCGTAGGCGCTTTTTGAAATTTATCAAAATTTACCGGAGCACCAGTAAATTTTTATATTCAATTTTTCTCTAAAGCAGAAGCGTTTTAGGGGATAAATTTTGTAGTGGATATAATACATTCACAGGGGCATCCAAATATATCAAAATTGTAAAGAATCACTATCCACTCAATTTTCAAAATGTCCCAAAACTTTGTATTACCTTTAAGCAAAGATTTCGAAGAAAAGCAACTGAAACAGGAACGATTCTGGCAGGGCACTACTACATATATTCATTGCATAACATCTTCAACAGATAATTTAATCTTCCATGTGTAGTAGAAGATTTCATACCTACGTTACATGGACACCGTCATATTTTTTGCCCCAACTTTATGGAATTACCCATATATATATTTATATAAACTGCCTTACTAAAATTGAGATTGTATAAAGACCCGACTCACCTGTTCTGCTGAGGACTATGGACGGTTTCTTCTCCAGGATCTCGAACTGAGCCTTAAGATCCTCATCTAAAGTGTCATACTGGTGCCTAATCTCATGTGGTGTTACAGCTTTGGTGTTTAGGTGAGGATATCTACTGTTTGGATTGATTCCATATGATTCATAGATCTGTATAACACAGGAGAGAAATAGAAAACCAATTATCATATAAGGTGTTAGAGAGGTGTATAAGGATCTTAAAGTGCTATAGCTTTGGTGTTTAGGTGAGGATATCTGCTATTTGGATTAATTCCATATGATTCATAGATCTGTATGTCACAGGAAAGAAATAGAAAACCAATTATCATATAAGGTGTCGTACTGGTGGGTGATCTCATGTGGTGTTACAGCTTTGGTGTTTAAGTGAGGATATCTACTGTTTGGATTGATTCCATATGATTCATAGATCTGTATAACACAGGAGAGAAATAGAAAACCAATTATCATATAAGGTTCATGTGATGTTAAGGCTTTGGTGTTTAAGTGAGGATATCTACTGTTTGGATTGATTCCATATGATTCATAGATCTGTATAACACAGGAGAGAAATAGAAAACCAATTATCATATAAGGTTCATGTGGTGCTAAGGCTTTGGTGTTTAAGGGAGGATATCCACTGTTTGGATTGATTCCATATGATTCATAGATCTGTATAACACAGGAGAGAAATAGAAAAGCCAATTATCATCTAAGGTGTTATACTGGTGTATAACCATCTTAAAGTGCTACAGCATTCAAGGAATCTCTTCCTACCGGTACCCATTTAACACCTGGATGGAGAGTGGCAAATGTAGATTAATATCTTGCCAAAGGACATTAGTGCTGCGGCAGTACTCGAACCACGGACCCTGTGATCCAAAGTCCGACGACTTATCCACTAGACCACAACACCTCCACAGTTTGTTTACATTTGGGTGTGGGATCCCTACAGGTAGAAAACAGCACACTTCTTCAAAGGAACATGAATAACCTGATAACGTACCTTGCATAGATTCTCTGGAGTAGTCTGAGCGAGGAGACGGTAGGAACTCTCCCTTTCTGCCAGGACCTCTAAGGGTGTCATGTCTCCTGAAGACCAGCTACGGATCATCCAGGCGGCATCCAGGGAACTTAAGAAACCCCTTGCACAGCCTGATCCGGTAGGCCAGAAAGGCTGGTAGAACAAACAAGAGAAATCATAATCATTATTTCATCATCCCATCCAAAGTCTTTCCAACAATGTATTTTAAATATGTTTGACAATCCTTCCTTGAATTTTTCATACTCACAACAGGGCGCAAGAGGGCTTTGGATTGAACTTGATAAAGTCTGTATGTATGAGCCCTATGAAAACACTACAACATTTTTGCGGTACGGACTTGGATTGTGGGTGCCCATATGTCCCGGGCATCTATTAGTGTCCAGCCCTGCGTACAAGATAAACTTTGCACTTGGCATTCTCTGTTTTCTTTCTTGCAGCAAAAACAAAATTCCATGATTCTTCTTCTCTCTTCTTCAAGATAATCTGTCTCCTTCAATACTGCAGATGCGTATACTCTGCCTGATTACACTGGGGTTTCCCTCTACTCTTATATGAATAGTGCAATGGTTCCTAACGTGCAAGGGTGGTGACTCTCCTCTACACGGGCCTCCATTTAACGTCCTATCCAAGGGAAGGATTAGTAACTTGAACCCCTCTACAGACTACCATGACCACCTACCTCCAATAAACTATCCCCCACCAACGCCAGCAGCAGCTTGTGTCCGTTCCTGTCCAGAACCCTGGCAGCGTTATCAGCTGCGTAGATAGACGTGAAGTCAAACATTGCCACGTCTGGCTTGCCGTGGTGATTGAGGGCGTAGTCTAGGGTCGGGAGCTGGAAGTTGGTGCAGAAGTCTGCCGCCTCACGAGCATACTCCTGAAGCTTCTGGTGGTTGTAGTTATCCTGTCTCAAGAGCTTGGCTGTGTCTGGTAGATCCTGTTTAACACAAAGCAAGGAATGTCTTTGGTAGTATTCAATATGGAGATCGTTCGTTCTTTCGTTCGTGTCTCCCTAGATCAAGATTAATGTATCTTGATCTTCGAAGTAGTTGCAAAAACCGGCCGTGTCAGACACGTTGCCCCGGGGTTCGAGATAGGACTCTTGTAGCGTGCCCCCAGAGATAGCATTCTGTTTCAATCATTTAGATAATTTCTAGTATTCTGTTGTATCATTTTACAATGGATATGTGTATTCATTTATATTGAAAGGTATTACACATTTCATTCTCACTACTATGACTGGTACTCTTCCAAGTGACTGAATGAACATTTTGTTGGTACAGTCAAACCTGCTTTGGTGACCACCTGTAGAGAAAGAACACCTGTCTACAAAAACCACGTTTTTTGTTTCCCTTGAAAATGGTTCCTCATTGAAACATGTACAAAAGGAACATGTACTCAAAGACCACCTGCCTATAAATACCACTTTTCTTGTCTCCAATGGGTGGTCTTTATTGAAAGGTTTCACTGTATTTGGTTTATTTTTTAGGAACATTTAAACATTTCTATTTCTGACTTTCTTATCTGTTCTTGTATGTATTTCCTTGTCTATGCTAACCTCCTGTCATATATATATATATCTCTCTCTCTCATACCCTTCACCATCTTTTCCTTCTGTATCTCATCACATCTCCCCCTTTCTCAGAATGACCCTCAATGTATACATACTGATTATTTCACTTATCTCACAAGTTCTCGATATAGCCCAAAGAACTATTTATGAGACACCCTGTAGTGGGCAAAGACATTTATATTTAACTCCACACACCCTACATGCCTCCCTGTTCTATAAATGTACTAGACCAACAGATTGTAGCAGCCTACAGGCTGTTCAAGGGCACAACATACAATCCCAATGTCAAAGACATGAGTCAACTGTCTTACGACTGAAGTTCCCTAAGCTAAAGGTTGTTTACACATGACAAAAGAAACCGTGAAAGGGATTGGGGGAGGGGGATGCATGTACTGTATAAGTGAATGGCATAAGGATGAAAATAAAAATATCTGCAGGCAAAAGAGGCTCTTATATATTTCATAAGTTAGATTAAAAAAAAGGTGTCAGAGGCAACAAGAGCAAAAGTAGACAGGGAGGGAAAGCATAAACTGGTGATGGCCACAGCTCCCCAGGGAGTGGAAAATGTGCGTACATTGTCTGCGGGGAAGCCTGAAACCCAATGATCAGGGTAATAATATATTTGCAAAGCACTTAGAGACATCGTTGATGTATTAAACCCTATATAAATGCAAGATATTCTTATCATTATTAAATGCCTCTTGCCGGAAAAGGATTTCATGTTTTGATTGAGAGGGAGCGTGGACGGAGGGACCAAGCCTCTACAAGAAGGAAGGGCAAGTGTAAGCCAGGATGTTGGCAACTTAAGCCACGTCTCAACACTCATTATTTAGAGAATGTGAGGAATGTAAAGTGACATGTAACAGGTAGCAATGTTACAGATATAGTCTATTCTGGGATTGGGAAGAGGGACAAAGACAGAGTCAGAGAGAGAGAGGGGGCAAAGGAAAGAGGGACAGAGAGAGAGAGGGGGCAAAGAGAGAGGGGGAGTAAGAGAAAGAAGAGGGGGAAGTAAGAGGGAGTGAGGCAGAGGAACAGAGAGAGGGAGGAAGATGGAGAGGGGAGAGTAAGAAGGGGGCACATGAAAGATTCAGAGTTCAGAGAGGGAAAGATTGAAAAAAGTAAAGGGAAGAGGGAGGAGTTGGGGGAGATGTGAGAAATGTTAAGTGACATGTAACAGGTAGCAATGTTACATATAGTGTCTATTTTGGGATTTGGAAGAGGGGTAGAGGTAGTGGGGTAGAGGGAGATGGGGAGTAAGAGGGATAGGGGGAGTAAGAGGGGGGGGGGAGTAAGAGGGGGCCATCCAAAAGATTCAGAGTTCAGAAGGGGGGAAAGAAAGAACTGTATGGAGTAAAAGGGGAGGATAAAGAGGAGTTGTGGAGAAACAGAGGAGAGATTATCAGAAGGGGATATAGAGCAGGGGTCATAAAGAGGCAGAACAAGAAGAAGGGGGGGGGGGGGAGGGGATAGAGGGGAGAGAGGAAGGGGGCATGAAGGGGAGAGAAGATGAGTGTAAGAGAGGAGATGAGGGGGGAAGATAAGGGGAAAGAGGGAAAGGAAATTATTTTACTCCCATAAAAGCACATGTGAGGTGCAGGTCTTTTCTTGAATGCTCCAAGCAACAAACCACTATCACTCATGATGAGGCACCATCTTGAATCCCAAGATCTAGGCTATTGAATGTGACAGAAGCAATAGGGGTATTTTGAAGCTATAGTGACAAGCACAATGAGGTTCCCTTTTTTTAATGTAGAGGTCCATTGATCAAAGCAATATTGATAATTCCTCAGGTTAGAGGATGTAAAGGAAAGCTTTTAACCCACAAGAGGAGGCGACGGATCTTTCCAAAATTATTGTCATGTCTTTGAACAAATTAGTTATCTGACATACATGTAGCCTTGCAGGTCTGTAAATAACTCTTGGAAGATTGTTCAATTTGCCAAATTCGAATTCTTTGTTCATATAATTTCTAATTTCTAACAATCAATAATTATACCTTTTTATAGTTATCCCATTAAGTCCAAATTTTCACCAATTTTTTCTCTCTGATTTCTACTTTTCTCACACAGCAACTTGTGATCCAGGTTCAATTTTATCTGATTTCATCCAAACTTTCACCAATTCCTTTTCTGATTTCCTACAGTGTAACTTGTAATCAAGGTTAGATTTCCTTATCAGTAATTGATTCTTTATTTGTGTATCTCTCCTCTCCCTACCTTCAGAATAACACCTTTGGCGAGTAGACTCTGCTTCTTAGCCGTCATCACAAAGTAATGCGTCTCGTCCTTGTAGTAGACGATGTTCTCAAGGTCGATTCCCGTCGACTCTCGTAGATCCATGAAGAACTTTTGGTTGAAGATGAAAGCGACGCCGCTGATCTCCTCGACGCTCGCCTCCTCGTTGGACTTTCTGTTGATGAAGTTTGCTGTGATTGCGATGGCAAGCTTCCCTCGGAACTCCTTCCTCTTGAAACCTGTGTGAATCATGATAATCATAACAACGTCATTAATAATATCAATCATAGTATAAATAATAATAGCAGTAATAGTAGAAATACAGTGAAACCTGTCTGTAAAAACCTCTCAAGGGAAACATGGAAAGTGGTCTTTATAGGCTAGTGGTCTTTATGTACAGGTTCCTTTAGTACCGGTTTCAATGAGAAACCATATTCAAGGGAAATGAAAATGTGGTCTTTGTAGACAGGTGGTTTTTCTATACAGGTGGTCACTAAAGCAGGTTTGACCGTATTATTATTAGCATCATCATCATCATCACAGCATCCTTCCTTTTATAAATATGCATCTCTTGTCATATCCAGTTTTACTTTAAATTTGAACCTTCATTTAGGACTATTTCAAACACATTTTTTGTTGATTCGAATGAATGAATCTCCCTTCCCTATAATAGCCTGTTATATTGCATATACTAATACAATTTTATTTCACTTTCTTGAAGAAGAAAAAAAGTGTTGCACATCTTGAATAAATTACAAATGCATGCTCCAATGTGAGTTATGCATGCATGCATGGTGTATGTTTGATAGAATTACAAATTAGACGGATAATACATTTCATAAACAGCAAATAAGACTTTGACTGCCTTGAAAAGAAAAACAAATAATACTGTTCCAGCATGCATAGTTTCTCATTTTGCAGACATGGATATGTGCGCTTTATAAATAATAAATATTTCAGAAATATGTTTACCAAATGATAATTACTGGACAAATCTTAATTGACCCATGCCCTACATTAGAGATAATCAGAGGCATATTTCAATATATGGACTTTATTGCTTTGTCCGTCATTTAGGCATGACTAGCAGTGCATGGCAGAGAAAAGAAGGGAGGGGCTTATACTGTTTATGGCATGACTGTAAGATAACAACGCTTCTGAAAGATGAAAATGTAATCTACATGCAAATGTATCTTTCATTAATGATCAGCTCAAAATGATATATATCATTATTCTTGTCTTCACCTGTAAGACTTGTTAAAATGTTGGTATAACATGCAGGTCACATCTAGGCTTCAGCTTGATTTAATCTTTAGATTAGTATTTAACGGGTTAATGCCTTTTAATCCATGAAGAATTTAGAAAACTACTATAGAAACACTCATGAAACAAGCATTCTCAAAAGGCGCGTCTTCATCATCTCGAGATTGCCAAATAGCCCGCTATTTGGGAAATAATCCCGAAGTAACAAATCGCGTCTTCACTATCTCGAGATTCGACCTCGAAACTTGAAACTCGGCCTTGAGAAATTAGCTCGAGATATTTTGCTCAGCGTTAGCGCGTATTGCGAATCTTCGGTCTAGTGAAGACGCACGGGACAAATAGCTGGATATTTTGCCAAAAATTGGGATATTTTGCAAACTATCCCAAGATATCTTGGGATGACAATCCCGACCAAATATCCTTCTAATTGCTACTTCGGTCTGATGAAGACGCAAATTAGCTGGATAGTTTGCGATCGGGATAGTTCAAATAGCTGGATATTTGGCAATCTCGAGATAGTGAAGACAGGCCTACATTCCTCAATGTCGCAAAAATTCAATTTCAAACTCAGTGATTTTCAGGTTGCCTGAAGCCCAAAGACCCAAACCCACAGAATAGTTCCCTTATGTATAATTAGAAATCCCAATTATTTTACTCCTTTAATTTGCATTTTGTCAACATCATGTATTTAATTTCCTTGATGACTTTCAATGCAAATAATCTTGCATCTACGATTCTACATTTGTAACTCATAAACAGCTCTAGAGGCCAAGACTCAGCCAATTAATCACTCCTTCTCTCTCTCTTAATTAGCATTTCTTCAACAATCACCAGAAATATTTCCTGTCAAACACCATAGGGGCGTCTTCATTATCTCAAGATTGCCAAATAGCCAGCTATTTCTGATTTGGGAAATAATTCAGTAGTTACAAATCGCGTCCTCATCAGCTCGACCTTGAGAAATTCGCTCAAAATATTTTGCTCAGCTTTCACGCATAGTGCGAGTCTTCGGTCTGGTGAAGAGGCACCGGACTGGATACATAGCTGAATATTTTGCAAACTATCCCAAGATATCTTGGGATGACAATCACGACCAAATATCCCGCTATTGCAACTTTGGGCTGATGAAGACGCAAATTAGCTGGATAGTTTGCGATCGGGATATAGTTCAAATAGCGGGATATTTGGCAATCTCGAGCTAGTGAGGACAGGCCTCAAGGTTCAAGTCATGGAACACAGAAGTAGTTCCTTTTCATAGTAATGTACGTGGGACGGAATAATTGCTTATTGTTACAGCCCTTTAACTTCTGCAACTTTCTTAATGAATAGTTATTGGTATATGGATGAAGGCCATTTGACCATTTTGTTATATAGACAACTTTTGGCCCAACTGGTAAATTGACTACTATGATGATTGGCCGAAATGTTGACTGGACCATGCATGGCGGTCAAACTGGATATACTGTAAATGGAGTTGAGCGAACCGTGTTATTCGTCCAAGTAACATTGGACCAAACGACAAATCTCAATTTATATAAATGTAATGCTTCCTGGGAGAAATTTCAATTATTTAAACATATTTGTGGCTTACACCCAGTAAATAAGATCGATTGATCGATCTGTATTGAAAAAACAAGTCAGAAAAAATCTTGAAACCAGCGGGACTTGAACCAGCGGGACTTGAACCTGTATCTACTGCTTGCCGGGCAGTGACTCTACCCCCTGGCCATCACTGGTCCATGGCACAGTCACGATGAACTAGAACAAATACCTAAGCTCTCCTGATTCATTCTGACTCATTAATATTCATTAGTCCGCCATAGGACAATAACTGATATAAATGTAATGCTTCCTGGGAGAAATTTCAATTATTTAAACATATTTGTGGCTTACACCCATTAAATAAGATTAATTGATTGATCTGTATTGAAAAAACAAGTCAGAAAAAACCTTGGAACCAGCATCTACTGCTTGCCAGGCAGCGACTCTACCACCAGGCCATCACTGGTCCATGGCACAGCCACAAATATGTTTTTTAAAAATCTCAATTTATTTTGACCAAAATTCTTACAGTTACAAGATCAGGACAAATTGCTAACTATGGTTTCATAAAATTGGTGAGGTAAGGTAAAGTGTATCATTTCAAAGATTAAAATAAATCACATCGTATCAATTTGTCCCTATAAATTAAATGCTTTGTGATAAGAAATAGCCACCCATGATCACGGCCAAAATACGAAACTTACCCTCTTTCCTTCTTGGTAGTTTTCTCTGTGTTTGTTTATTTTTGAGATACTGAACTATGATGGCATGACCATTGCTTGATGCAAGGTGAAGAGGTGTCTAAGCAGTATTGTCACGATTATCAATCTGTGTTCCTTGACCAACGGACACCGAAGTACATCAAGATGACCATTGCTTGATGCATACTGAAGGGGTGTCTGAGCAGTATTATCACGATTATCAATCTGTGTTCCTTGACCAACGGACACCGAAGTACATCAAGATGACCATTGCTTGATGCATACTGAAGGGGTGTCTGAGCAGTATTGTCACGATTATCAATCTGTGTTCCTTGACCAACGGACACCGAAGTACATCAAGATGACCATTGCTTGATGCATACTGAAGGGGTGTCTGAGCAGTATTGTCACGATTATCAATCTGTGTTCCTTGACCAACGGACACCGAAGTACATTAAGATGACCATTGCTTGATGCAAGGTGAAGAGGTGTCTAAACAGTATTGTCACGATTATCAATCTGTGTTCCTTGACCAACGGACACCGAAGTACATCAAGATGACCATTGCTTGATGCATAGTGAAGGGGTGTCTGAGCAGTATTGTCACGATTATCAATCTGTGTTCCTTGACCAACGGACACCGAAGTACATCAAGATGACCTTTGCTTGATGCAAGGTGAAGAGGTGTCTGAGCAGCATTGTCACGATTATCAATCTGTGTTCCTTGACCAACGGACACCGAAGTACATCAAGATGACCATTGCTTGATGCAAGGTGAAGAGGTGTCTGAGAGCATTGTCACGATTATCAATCTGTGTTCCTTGACCAACGGACACCGAAGTACAGCTAGATGACCATTGCTTGATGCATAGAGAAGAGGTGTCTGACGAGCATTATGACCACTTTTAACCTGTGCTCTTTAAAGATACTACCGGAATGTCTCTTATGCAGCCAACATCAAATTCTGTAGAGCTTTGCAGGAATAATGAATATGTCATGTATGTACTATCTGTGAAATTTAAACATTAGCAGTGTCCTAGTATTCAAATTATGCAACGAAACCTGTTTTGTTTTAAGGGAAAATCTAAATTAGTATTGTCTTTCAAATGTCGTTGAAATTTAGCCTATCATTTTTTGGAACTACAAATGGGACATACTGCACTTTTTTTCCGTCGGCAACAATTAAAAATCGGGGGTGCGCCTTATACACAGGTCTGGATATTTTGAGTCCTCAAAATGCTACTTTTTGGTGGTTTTCGATAAGCCTGAGTCATCATAACCTTGCCGATAATTAATGTTTTTAGATCTAGGGGCAACAAAACCTTGCCGATAATTAATGTTTTTAGATCTAGGGGCAACAAAACCTTGCCGATAATTAATGTTTTTAGATCTAGGGGCAACAAAACCTTGCCGATAATTATTGTTTTTAGAGCTCCGTAGGGGCAACAAAACCTTGCCGATAATTATTGCTTTTAGATCTCCGTAGGGGCAACAAAACCTTGCCGATAATTATTGTTGTTAGAGCTCCGTAGGGGCAACAAAACCTTGCCGATAATTATTGTTTTAGAGCTCCGTAGGGGCAACAAAACCTTGCCGATTATTATTTTTTTTAGATATCCATAGGGGCAACAAAACCTTGCCGATAATTATTGTTTTTTGATCTCCGTAGGGGCAACAAACCTTGCCGATAATTTTTATTTTTAGATCTCCGTAGGGGCAACAAAGTCTTGCCG